ACCTTTTTTTAAATGCTCAAATTTATTCCTCTAACAAGTTTAGTAAAGGTAAAAAATGCACATTACTAGCAAGATTCACAATTTTAATAACAAAACAAAAGCATGAAATTATATATTTGATAATTTTGCAAAAGTGTTATCAAAGCATTGTATTTATTTTATCATAGTTAATGAAGTATTGATCTATTAGAAGTCGTCACCAAAACGTTTAGTTTGCCAAATTTTTGGTAGCCTGCAAGTAATTTTGCTTAAACGGTTTTTTTAAAAAAACGATAAGCTTAATAAATTTGATATCAAATCATTAAATTACGATAAAACAGCTGTTCTTTGTCTACTTGAATTGAAATTTTTGACTGTTAATTTAGAATTAAGACAAGCAGACACTACATTTAGCTATTAATAAAAGAATATTTAACAGGTAAAATATCTTTGTAACAATTTAAAATTTTTTCTCTGATTACTAAAAAATTTAGATTTTTTGGGGACATTTACGAGCATATAGTTGTCGGGCCAATTAGAAAGAGCTAGCAACAATGTTCTGAATGAAACTGTACCAAAGAGACGAGACAGTTTTTATAAAATTTATTTATTCACCAACTTTGCATCAATAAGCAAATATAAATTTAAATGTCCGTAACGGGTTAGTATAAACGTAAGAGAAGTTTAACCCGCCATCTATATATATATATATATATATATATATCCACATATATATATATATCCACATATATATATACATCCAGTTTTATTTAACTTTTATAGGTTTAGATGAAAGATTTTGATTATTAAAAAGATCTTTCGATTTGAAAGTTTTTTTTTTTATCGAAATACCAGTATTGAGTCTCAGGAGTTCAGACTTAACTGAACTAAGCCTTAAATGTGTGTACTCAAATGCATTATCTAAGTTTGGTTTTGTATAATGTGCGTACAATATTTTTTAATGGTTCCAGCCGTTATTAGAACCCAACCTTTTATCTACTTATCGGCAATAAAAACCATATGTTGGTGACGGTTTTTTCGAGTTAATACCCACACAAACACCAATAACTGATGAGTACAAATTTTAATATCGCAACGCATTGTAAAAAATATATATCGTGATATTTTCCCTATTAATCTAATTTCTACATTGTTTTCAATATTTCTGTTACCCAAATAAAATGTAGCAACATTCAAAATAATGTGGTATTCAATAATTTTCGCTTTGTATAATATTCACGATATTGTCATTTTCGATGCACCTATGTAAATTATCGGTAGCTAGAGATCTGTGTAAATTAGAACATAGAGTTGTTCCTGTTAGTAAACTTGGCTTCATAATACCAATAACCGATTAGCACTGATTTATAATATTTTCATATTTATAGTATTTTCATTTTCATTTCATAGTATCTTCATTTTCATTTTATAGTATTTTCATTTTATATTTATAATATTTTCAAATTTACAATTTTTTATTTTACGGTTAATAAATAATTAGTGTTCATTATTAATAGTTGGTATTTAGATATTTTAAGATTGGAATTTAACCTAATTAAAAGCCTTGAAATTGAAATGCCGTTTGCTTTAATAAGAATAAGCACACTTATGTCTGACATTGAAATATAATACATATTTCTTGAATTTCTGATAACTTAGGTTAGCCTGCATATTCTCTTCCGCACTTAAACTATGAGATTAGTGAGCTTAAACTCTCTCAGTGGCGTGACAGCCCATAGAGGGCCAAGGCCTACTGTGCCCATCTCAGTTTTCTTGACCTCGGGCTCTGGGGTGCAGGAGCAGATGTTCCGGTTAGGTGGTCAGTGAGCTTAAAGGATATTTAATTTTTCTAGTAGTTTGGACTGTTTTTGCTTGCTTTTTTTTTTTGTTTTTGTTTTTGTTTTCTTAAGGTTTTGTAAAAATGCTGTTTCAAATGACAACATACGTTTTAATCGATGCTTTTTTTTGAAGAAAAAAAACTTAGAAATGAATTTTTAACGTTTTAATTTTATTCATCAATGAAATTTCGTATTTTCGATACTGTGCCTGAACCGCAAAGAGGTGTTGGTTTATAAACTACCCCTTGAAAATTTGAAAACTTCTAAAAAAGATACACAATCCGAATAGGTGCTCCTATTCTCGGGTTATTAGCGAACATATAGCAAGTTAATGATAGACTTTTCGCTTTTATATATAAAGAGACTAGCAGAATATCCGTTCTCCGTACGGAATGAGAAAAAAAACAGAAAATAATCAATAAATCAGTACTAAACAGCCATGTACAAAAAATAAAATGCATATATACTGACACAATTAATAAAAGCTAAAATGATTCCAATTATACATTTACTTACTATCAGTTTCAACATTTCCCGGTAAATTTTCGTTACTAAACTATGCAATTTTTTTCCTAGTTTATCTCATCAGAAAAAAAAAGATTAACTGTATTCCGTAACTTCTGGTATGATGCTATTCCTCCAACTGACACTAACTCATATCAGCGAAAATATACTGCTTTCAAATAAAAAAAATCTCCGATACTTATCCCTTTCAAGGAGCCGTAAGACATCTATCTCCACACTATCAATATTGGCTCAGTATTGGTTCAGTTTCAATACTCACCAAACATTACTTTGTTTGTAGCTTTATTAGTATATTTGGTACCTATTACATGCCCTCCAATTGTTCAGAATATTCGTATCCAGAAACACTCGAGCAGCTCCCCCTATGTAATTGCAATTAGAAAACGCATTATGTCTTACGAGTGTTTGTGTTAATATGTAAATGTTTGTGTTACGTCCTAATAAATGTTTCTAAAAGTAACAATTCGTTTGTCAATTCGGAAGTAATTAGTTTCGTAACACCAATAGCTGAACTTTGAGCCAAATATATTTATCAGTGGTAGCTAATTAAAAGCAAAGTCTTTTAAACAAATAAAATTCTTACAAAATCTTCATTTTAATTTGTTCTTTTCGAAGGAAACGAAATTTTCCAATTTTTCTCATAGGATTACCATTATGCATTGTTGCAATTTAAACTGCAAATGCTTTTTCTTTTCAATTATTCACGTGATAAGAGTAATGTTTGGTAGACTAAATCTTTATTTCAAAAAAAATGAGTTTCACTGGAAGTTAATTGCAAGTTGTTTAACAATTATTTATTTTCAAATTATAATAACAGGTAAAATCAAGGAGGAGGGTGACGTCACCGGATTAGTATTTTAAAATATATCTGAAACCACGTGCTTATTTTGTTTATGTACTCCATCGTAAGTTAAGAAAAGACCATTGTGATATAAGATTTAAATAAACATTCGTGACTGCATATTATTCCATTTTATTTAATTATCAAATTATATAAATATGCCTTTCAAACAATAAAAGAGTTTTTAGTAGTTAAACTACTTGGACAGAAATTTAATTCCTGCTATTTTTTGTGACATATATCATAGAATAATTTAAAAAAATATTATAGTTTCGTAATGGAAATTTTATAATTTCGTAATAGTTACTGGAATTACAGACTTGGTGACATATTTCAATGAATAAGGAGAACACAGTGACAAAGAAAATAACTATATAATAGTACAATATTATTACATTTGATTGGACCAATAAAGGTGACGCGTCTAATGCTGAGATGTCATTAACAAACCAAATGAAAGATCGAGAATTTCTTTTAATTTTGTAATTTTTTTAAAATTATTTTTTATTATTTTTTTTATTATTATTATTTTTAATTTACCGTAAAGGAAAATCGTCTGCAAGAAATGATATCTATTATTATTTCATCAGTTGGCTCTATGATATCTATTATTATTTCATCAGTTGGCTCTTGGCATTTCCGGCAAAATTAAATTACTAGTGCACTTTAGCATCCAAATAGAGTTTCGGTGCTGCCATCTAGTGTGGCAGAAACTAGACGCCCAAATTAACATGACCAACGGTATCTCACCCATTATGGTGGTCCTGTAAGAGTGGATACCACCTCTGGAGAACGCACTAGGTCTGCTCATCGGCAAGACCAATTGTGCGGCTCATTGGAAATAAATTATTTCATCAGTTTCTTTAAATGCAAACAGAGAGACATATATTTGTTAAGATTTTTAGATATTATTCTTATTAATTTTTACAACAAAACAATTGATTTTATTTAATAAGTTTAATTTTCCTCATTTCACATGATTTAAGAAAGCAAGCAAAAGGAAGGCTGCGCAACATGCCGTTTCAAGAGTTGGCGATGTTGATATACGTTCGTGCTTGGAAATTTATCAACCATTTGTAACGTTCACTTAGATTCAAACAGGCTCTCTTCATTAGGATAATTGTTTTTTCTTAACTTGCAAGAGAGTGTAGTTACTCTTTAGACAAAAAGTCATTGGTAATTTTAAAAAAGTTATATTCAAATGTGAAAATTTCGTTAGAAAATTACTTAATTGTGATAAATCTCGAGTATATATCATGTGAAACCCTCAATCAAATATGTAACCCACAATTCAATGTTCAATAATGCTGAGTAAAATCAATCTTTATTTTGAAGAGTTGATGTTCGCAAACCCTTTTTTTTTTTTATCTAATAATGCAAAGTCACGAAAAAGAACAATCCACGTGAACGTTTCAAATATTGAAATTGTTTTTTTAATTTTTAAATAGTCTCGTTATATGTTTTCCAGTTTTGTGCATAAGTGCGTATTGTTAATTAATGCCTATCTGTTGAATACTAATAATTCCTTTACCTTGTACGCAAAACGAGTGTTCAGCTAGTTAGGAATAAAATTGTTGTTATTAGAATCTTTTAGTTGTTTAAAATCTTATATTTCTGATAGCAGGAAGCATATTTGATACAAAAATGCTCATTGATATTCGTTAAATTATGAATAAAATTGAAAAAATAGTTTGTTTGTTTACTTCAGTTTTCTATGAAAAGGAATGGACGAATAATGAATGAATCATTAAACAAACAAAAATAAAATGGAACTTTAATGAACGTATCTGATCTAAAAAATGAACACAAAATTCATAACACAACAAAAATCCCTTTATTTTATTTTTTTTACAAAAACAATAACAAAATAAATAAATCACAACATTGTGCTACATTGATTAAGTATTAATGAACGATTAAAATTGTTCAAGTAACAAAAATAAATTTTGCTAATATTAACAAGTGAACAACATAAAATAGTAGAAGAAATTTTTTAGCCTTTTTTTTAGATGTTTCATATTAGTCGTACTTTCTATATACTTTTTTTATAATTGTAAAAAAAAGATTAAAAACATGGATCATGAGTCTTAAATTCATATTTAAGTGAGAAAAAAGAAGAAAAAAAATCACCGCCTAACTCTAACAAATCATTATCGAGGTCAAACAGAGTAAAGTAGAGATTTAACTATGAAAAACCAGTTTATATTTTTGATCCACGTAGATAATGATTCGTCAAATATTAATTTGCGACTTTTTGCGTGCAGATTATTTTACTCCCTTTCTTAAAAGATTTTAAAAATATATATTCAGGGCAGTCATTTAGAAATTTTAAGATTATGAGACTTTAAACAAAAATTTACTGATGTTTATTTTTAAATGAAAAAAAATGGCAGCTTGAAATTTGTTTATCAAAAATCAATTTAAAAAAATCAAATTTAAATATCAATATTTGTAAGCTGTTTCCGATAAAGCATATGCAGCAAATTTATCTGAGAAGTTTATACAAAACTGTTTTAGACATAAAAATTCCAACAAAATATTGTACAACAATGAAACAGTTACAAAATATGCTTGAGATGTAGAACTTTCAGTTTCCCTGAAAATTTAAGAGGACTGAATAATTTCACATCTCTATCAAATGAAGCAGAATAGTTATGCTCCAGGTGACGGTCTAGTCATAATCTCTTCAATCCATTTTTCAAAATAACTAACTCGTGTGTAAATATCGGGATATCCTTCTTTGGCGCAGCCAGAACCAAAGGACGTTATTCCGGCAACATAGTATTGACCGTTTACCAAACATTGTAAGGGGCCACCCGAATCACCCTGTAAAAAATGTGAATATTATGTGATTATGAAAAAAAAAATTTTTTTAACTTAAGAGTAACTATTTTGGCTCAATACAATAATCATAAGAATGTCCGGTGAATCGGAAAAGTCTAAATTCTTTTCCAATTAGCCTGGCCCATTGCAAAATGACGACGGTGTTTTTCAATTGAGCGGGATTTTTCAATTGAGCCTTCCAATTACGTGGCCAAGGTTTGAATTCCAGTGGTAACCATTAGGAGTAACCATTTTGGCTCAATACAATAATCATAAGAATGTCCGGTGAATCGGAAAAGTATAAATTCTTTTCTAATTAGCCATTGCAAAATGACGACGGTGTTTTTCAATTAAGCGGGATTTTTCAATTGAGCCTTCCAATTACGTGGCCAAGGTTTGAAATCCAGTGGTAACCATTAAGAGTAACCATTTTGGCTCAATACAATAATTATAAGAATGTCCGCTGAATCGGAAAAGTCTAAATTCTTTTCCAATTAGCCTGGCACATTGCAAAATGACGACAGTGTTTTTCTATTGAGCGGGATTTTTCAATTGAGCCTTCCAATTACGTGGCCAAGGTTTGAAATCCAGTGGTGAATGGTCGATATGAGTTCTGTTCCCGGCATGCATCGATCACTGTGCTGATGTAAAAATATTCTCAGTGGTAATTGAATCACTGGTTAAAAATCCTCGTACCACCCGGCTAAGCGTGGGAGGTTTTCGTGATTTTCTTTTTTCCAGATGTAGTGCATGCTGGTTAATACTATCAAAAAGTCCTCCACGAAGGCTAGCTCTGCTTTGAGTGCAAAATTATAAAGTTATGGAGTTGAACATAGACCCATTTATGGGGTTACGTAGTCGTAAATCCATAAATGGGTCGGTTGTTCAAAATAAAATAAAGTCAGTCGTTTAATTAACCTAAACAAGAAAACAGTTTTCCCACTATTAGCTTCTAAATTTGAATTAAATGAACAATTGTCATGTCAAAAGGCAAATTTTAAATAACTCTTCCTGTAACCAAGCATTCTCAATATTTATACAGTGTTTCATAACAACAAATCAACCACAAAAAACCGACTTAGCGAATCATTTAGTTCCACTAATGTTGCCATTCTAAACTTACTAAATTGATTTGCCTTTTATTGAAGACTTTATACGTAAAAATAATAAAGTTTCAAAGAACTCTCTAGTGTAAGCCTTTTAAATTTAAAAAGGGTCCCAGATGGTCGTAAACGTTTTAATAAAGTTGCCAAAAGTTAGCGAATTATCAATTTTTATCGGAAAGTAAGAAGTCTTGATTTTTATATTCTGTTAAGTCTAGTTCTGCCAGCATTAAGTGATTAACTGCAATAATATTTTGCACTATTAAAATTTTCATTCTAAAATTAAAGTAAAATAACTAGCAGTAGTCAGTCTATCCAATTAACCATTAATTGGATAACAATCAATGGACAATTTACCGTCGAATTAATTGAAGTTTACGGTAAAGAAAATTTTTTTCCTTTACGATTTCAAAACCGTTTACAACTAGTATAGTTAAAAAAAAACATGAATGGAAAACGATACAGTTTTTCTACACCATTTGCAGCTAACATGGTTGAAAAATCATAAAATATGTGGTTTAATTAGTTAATCTGGTTGCTTCACCTGCTGAAAAGGATGGGAAATACTACACTTTTTGTGTTCAGCAGTTAATGCTGTTGCGATCGATGCGTAAATGAAAGTATTTTATTGTAATAGACCAGAATCACAAATTGGGAAGTTCAGAACACTGGAAACTCTTCATGTTGTAAAGGAAATGGCGAAAATATTGTGACGTGAACGCTCGAACTTGAACCCATCTTCTGTCGGTCATCAGATTGACAAATTATCCTTCTCGATTATAATATCTACCCAACTGCAAGGAATTAAATGGCTTCACTAGGTGGGTCTAACTGGGGTGACAAATTTCTGGTTTGTCAACCGTAATAGGTAAAAGTGGTTATTAAATGGCTTTTCTCATAGTTAACAGTTTGAATGGAATCTTATTTATGGTTATTTGACTGATTTATTTTAATATGGTAAAGTAGCAATTAAATAAATTGTTATTTTACCATTTTTTTTCATTTTATATTTCTAGCAGTGTGTAGTTTAAGCTGTGATATTGGTAATTTTCAATTGTTCGTTTTTTTTTTTTTTTTTTTTTTTTTTTTTTTTTTTTTTTTTTTAAAAGTTGCATTGATTATTCAGAAAATCAACAGAATGGAGTTAAAGGCAGAAAATATTTTAATTCCTGTAGGATAAATATAAATCATTTTGTTACTATGCAAAGATTTTCAGTAGTTTCAAAACGAAACTCTTCAAGTTTAAGAAGAAAAAGAAACAGACTACTTACTTGGCATGTACCTTTACCCCCTTCTAAGATTCCTGCGCACATGTGCCAGCTTTTAATTGGAATTTGATAGTTTGGATAATAGACTTGATGGCATACATTATTGTCGAAAATTTGTATTTCTACCTCTCGTAAAACATTGGAGCCTCGCTTATCTGAAAAAAAAAACCAGACATTTGAAATATTATGTAGTACAATTGAAAGGATTTAGTTATCGAAACATTATTAAACACACAGAATACTTTGAAACAGTAGGGTCAAAATGAAAGCACAAATCAGGCTTACTAAAAGAATCAAAAATCACATAGAAATATGAAGTTGCAAACACTAACCTTAGCTGCTTGATGAGTTAGCAAATTTTATCTGCTATACAAGGAAAATAATTCAAAATCCTTTTGCGCTATTTTATTTATTCTGTTTTTCCTCATAATTAGGACCAATACTACTGCAGAAGACTGTTACGAAATAATATTGTAAAAACTATGTGCATCCACATATTTTTTTTAACCATTTTTACTCCAAAATGATTGTTGGTAAATCGAATAATGTAAAGTCATTAGCAAGAGCAAAAATGAAGTTACTTACTAAGTGCCAAATTAAAGAAGTATTCACTATACCGTTGTCCTTTTTTCACCAAAAATGATTATAAAATAGTATTATTAATGACACAAGTTTACAGGTACTCATTTTCAAGTATTATTTATTGTCTATACAAATTGCCCTAACAGTAAAGCCTTTTTTTTTTTTTTAAAGCCGAACAAAGTCGAGTTCAACGGTGCCGAGTTTTTTCAGTAGAACATTATACAGAAAATAAATTACTCCTTTCCATGCAGTGTAAAATATATATCTTATACACTGTAATATTAATATAATAATATTTTTTTGTAATATTAATATAATAGTGTACGCTTTAAATCTACGAATATAGTAAATAGATTATTTTTAATAGTTACTAAATTTTCTTTAACACACGCTCTAATTATTACCTCATAACTGTCTTGAAATTATTTATTGTAATTATTCATAGAAATTATTTATATTAATAGTAACTATTTATAGTAATTACCTTAAACCCACGTGGAGAAACTGATTAAATATTACCGGCTATTATTAATAATTGTTGTTTTTATTTTGGGTTTTACACGTTTGCTAGGTAAAGGTTAACTTTGTCTTTTCTTCCTTTGGTTAGGTAGATATTTAAATTCTAGATTACAGTGAACCATAACAAACTAAATTAAAATTGTTCAAGAGCAAAGATTGATTTTTTTAATTATTATTTTAATTAATTATTTATTATTTATTTTAATTAATATTATTTTAATTAATATTATTTTAATTAATTTATTTAATTATTATTTTAATTAATTCTAATTATTATTTTATTTAAACTTATTTTATTTTAATTTTTTATTTTTTTGATCACGTGGTTAGTTACATGGTATTCTACTTAGTTCTTTTATCAAAAATAATGTTGTATGATTTCCATCAAATTTCGAATAGCTAAGAAAAATCGAAAAAGAAATGGAAAATATTATAAAAAAGGACGCATAAGTTAAAGTATTTTCTAGTGCAACTATTATTAAACCAATTTTCCCCCTTTCTTAAGATTACATTTTAGTTCAATGCATGATTCTAATTTACTGCTAAACTGTTTTCCTATAATTTGCAAGCGTAATATTCGATGAGTTTTTATTAATTAATGCAGTTTTAATAATTCTACTAGCGTAACAATGAAATATTGTGAGAAACTTCCTTGTTACATAGGGAACAATTAAAAAAAAATTAAGCTAAAAAAAAGAAACAGGAATTCATATTTTTAAATCAGGTTTTTTTGCTTTGAAAATTACATCGATTAGTATTCTTTAAACGTTTCATTAAATAATTATTTTTCTAAAAATGGATCACCTTGAAATCTACATGAAGGTCAGATCTTCTTGTTATTGTATTGTAATTACCCAATTTTTATTCTAAATAAACAAAAGAACACTTCATATATTTTTTGACCAATTTTTTAAAAAAATGAGTAGAGATGGCTTTATGTCTTGTGATTATATTCATGCTATAATTAAGTGCAAATCTTTATAAACAACTTTATGTGACCAATGCAGTCAGTGTAAGTATGATAACTGTTCAAAATATTATTTAGGAAGGAGTTTAATATTTCAGAGAAAAAAATACTGAATAATAGTGAAAAATTTTACTGTCAAACCATTTTTTCCGGTAATTTACACTCTCTTAAACCTAGTTTTAAAAAGGAAAAAAAACATTTAACAAAATCCAAAAACTTTTGAATTTCTAAGAATTAAAAATATTTTTTTTATTTTGATAAATTAAAATGAAATTTTTAATTAAACTTATCAAACTCGAATTTATTAGTTTAAGGGAAAAGGAAAAGCTTGTTACATATACATAAACATAAATCATATTTTTAATATTTAAACATGACAATTTTAAATATGTTATATTTACTAACTACTAGATGGCAGCACTACAACAAATTCTTAAATATTCTTTTACTCGTTAGTATAGTTGACAAATTTCTGGTTTGNGAAAAAGTGGATAAGAAAGCAAATGTAAGTCAACTTATCACATACATACTTAATCATTTATACGGATATTAATTTGTAATAAAATCTCATAAATATTGTTACTTTTGCAACTCTACGAGTCTCATGTGTACTTAGTACCAATTATAGTTAACAATATTTGTTCTACATTAGAATTTATGTGATTGGGATATAGAGTTACCTATATATTTCAACTAAAAGTAAAGTTTAAAACATTATTTTAATTTAAATACGTTTTTTTTTTACTTTGGAAAAAGTATTTGACAATTATTTGATTGACACTCCGGACATAACTAAGTTACAATCATTTCAATAAAATTATTTTTTAATAACTGTAGACAATTTTCCTCAATGTAAACTCAAAATAAAGATGATTAAGGAGTCGAATCGAGAGCCTTTTGATTTGGCGATAATTTTTGTCTAAATTTGATGAAACTCCTTTTTTGGTAACCATGATATTCTTTGCCATCTTTACTTTCACTGACCTTCGGGTTATCGCATCTTTTGTTTAGCGTTATGTGATTGGTTCTTGGCGTAATTTCATATAGTGCCCGCCGCTAATAAAATCACCGGATAATAAAATCAGCCGCTTTATTAAATCAAATCGGCAAGAACCGAATAGTTACAATATTAATGCATGTTAAAAACATCCTTTAATAAAATCAATGCCGCCGCTTTTTAAAATCAAAATTTTGACTACATAATAAATCAAAGGTGCACTATTTCAGCTTTTTTTTTGTTCTTATTTATAAAATTTTATTTTTTCGAAGTTTAAAGAGTTTTTTAGAAGAAGCAACAGTTACTCACAAACCTGTGAAACAGGTGTGGTTAGCACTTTCCTGCTGTATACAGAGTGTAAGGGTTAAGGAAAAATGTGGGTGGTAAGCAGCGAGTTCATAGAAATCAATTTATCAATGTTAATTCCTTTACTTGAATGAAGTTTGGAGAAACCTATCTCACTCAACAGGAGGTTGAATTCTTATCTTACTTTTTATTGAATGAACCATAGAAGGGAGAGAAGTTTCTTTTGTTATCTATCTTAACAGAGAACATGAATAGATTTCCAAAAACTGTCTCTGCACATGTTCCATATTATTTAAGCCGTTTGAGTAAATTATAGTTAGAGCACATATCCTTTTTAAGTTCGTTTGGTGTTAAATTTTCTCAGCATGCCGAAAAGGAAGGTTTTGAGTCTTAAAGATAAATTCGAAGTGTCGCAAAACTATGATAAGCTTCCTGAATGTAGTCAACGTGAAACTTCAATGGAGATGGGGCTCATAACTGTTTCGAAGAAATGATCAGCAATGAAGAAAATGAAATGGACTAGAATTTTTCACGTTACGTAGCTATTGACGATAACCTACAAACATCAGGAGAAAAATCTGATTCTAAAATTGTTAGAGACATCAAAAATTGCAAAGTTATTTCCCATCAAGAAATGGAGGAATCAGATTCAGAAGATGAAATAAACTCATCAGTGCCATCTTCAATGGAAGTCAGAAAAGCACTTAATGTAATGCGGCAAGCTTTAGAACAAAGAGGAGGAATATCGAAAACTATAAAAACTTCTATAAACTCTTAAATGATGTTGAAAAGTTAATTTTAAATACTGCAACTCAAGCAACCATTGATCGGTTTTTTGCAAAACTTTCGTAAATTTAATCTTATGTAGGGTTTTACTTTATTAAAATAATTAAATTAGTTAAAATAAAGCATTACTGTGGTCATTATTTCAGCTTTTAAAGTGTGTGCATTTAGAATACATCGTAAAATTTGTTTCTTTTTTCAAATGTTGAATCGCCTCTTAATAAAATCAGCCGCTTAATAAAATCAAAAGAGCATAAAACGAAGGTGATTTTAATAAACGGCGGGCACTGTATACACAACACTAAGGTTTACAAACTCTAAATTTATTACTTCGAACATAAACGTAGACAAGGAATGAATAACCAAGTTAAATTATGTCAATAAAATATTCAAATAAAAAATTATAAACCCTGAAAAATTCAAAAATATTATTTATAGAGGGTTGAAAGAGTTCCTGATAAATTCTGAAAAAAATTTCTGTTTTTTAAAATGACAAGATGAAAGATTTTTTATTAATTAGATTAAATTAGGATTAAATTAATTATTTTTTCCAAATAGTTTTTAAAATAATTTTAAAAAATTATTCGCTAATTTTAAAATCTTGCATTTAATTCAAAAAAAAAATTATGAATACTGTGTATAGAAAATTTGAATAGCGCTCGAGGGGGAAAAATCCAAATATACGTATTTTTAAGAGTTTTATTTTTTGAAAACTATTCTAACAATTTCATGCAAATACTTTGTTAAAACCCTTAAATTTAAGCCCTAACTCATATCAATTCAGATAGCTCACCTTCTGAATTTTCTCTGGACGCAGGAGCTGGAATCGTTTGTGAACAGTTTTGTTTTCTTTTTCTGATTAGAAATTTCAAAACAACTTTGATGGATAGTTACAGCCAATTCTTTTCACAATCGAACAACATTCGACGAAATTCACCTTAGATGGTAGTTCAGTGGATTCCATTGAACTGTGGCATTGCGGGCAATAAGAAAGCTGTCTATCTTGCCAAGAAGTGATTTTTGGTTCCCAAGAAACCTTCTGATAATTTGGAATTACAATCAACTGAACTGGAAATTTTCAAGTGCTTCTTTCTGTGAAACGGCTTTGAATTTTTCTACAGGCTAACCTTGGAATGTACTCTTCGCCAAATCTAAACCACAGGAGATTGTTCCAAATTCAACTTTTTATCGAGCGGTTGCAGTTTCGATTTAGACTCCTGATTGTCGTCGTGGACTCTTCTACGGGATCTGTTTGTATGACTAGCAAGGATATGACTCTTTTGCATTTGGACGAGTGCCCTATCTTCTTTCTCTAGTCAAGTGCAGAAATATTAACGATGCCATGGTATAATGGCCTAGTGGTCAAACGACTGGCATTTGATAAATAAATAGAAAACTATTTATTCTTGTCAATTTCAAATAATAATATTGTATATTTCAATAAATGTCCGAATCTTTAAAGTGCCGGAATAGTTAGGCTCCTCTTCTGATAATTTTCCACTTATCTTGTAACCAAAAATATGACTAGAAGTGATCTCCTTTTCACAGAATTTACAGAATTACAATAATTTTAAATTTATTCGCTTCAATTGTCTTTAAACTTCGCAACAACAAAATATTTCACCTGAATTTATTTTCCAATAAGAGATTAAAATAAATTTTTATTTTAGATGTTTCAAAAAATCTTATAATTTAAGCACTCGAAAGAACTATTGTCATTGTTAAAAGAAAATATTATTATTATTATTATTATTATTATTCTTATTTTTACTACTACTACTACTATTATTATTATTATTATTATTATTATTATTATTATTATTATTATTATTATTTTTACTACTACTATTATTATTATTATTTTACTATTACTATTATTATTATTATTATTATTATTACTATTATTATTATTATTATTATTATTATTACTACTGTTATTATTATTATTATTATTATTAAATCGTACTTGGGAAACACTTTTGTTAAATTAATATTTTTATTTATCGCAATACTTCTTTTATTCTTCTACCATAATTTTAAGTTGGAATGAGATTCCAATTAGCCTGATATACTTTTATACCTGATTATAACAACAATAATGAGAAAATATCTATCATATATTGTAACTCGATCATTGTTTTTAATTGCTATTTTTATTCATCGAAGTTTTTTTTTTATGTTTTAAGCTGGGACGGAATTCCAGGTTCAACTGACATACATTTACACCTGATTGTAGGAATAATAATTGTAATAGTAATAAATTTTGCTTTATGGCTTCCCTTACAACTAGTAAAATATATAAGTCCTTCATTTCACTGTGATGGTGAAAATTGCTGGACATTAACATAACAAAAAGTAAAATTCAAAAACTAATAACGAGAAATTTCCCTAATCTTTTATTAATAAGAAGTGTGGTGCCGCATATATGTTTAACATTAAAAAAAACATAAATATTTCCAACCTTGAAATTTCGCCAAAGAATGCCCAACGATCTTGAATTACCAAGAACATGATTTTCAAAAAATTCAATCAGAGCGAAGCCTTCAATGCCAAGGCGCAATTTAACGACGTTTCTTAGGGTTCAAAAACTTCTTCTCAAGGTTAAAGATAATTGATGGAGACATTGTTGCACATAAAAAAAGTTTTTTTCCCCTGCTTTTATATCACTGGTGTTAATTAGGAGTAAAAATATTAACTTCCCTAATGTCAGCGAAGAACAAAACAAGTGAAAATGGCCGTTTGAATATAATTGAATTTGTCAAAGCTAGTAATTTATTCAATCTATTACATAAATAACTGTATAAACGCATTCCAGAGTTATCCTAAGGGTCTAGTTGAACTCGCCATCAGCGGAAAAAAAAACGAATATAATATATTAAAACGAAATATAAATAAAAACGAACCTATTAACTTCACTAAATCAGCATAATGAAAATGGAAATCTGTCAGCAATAAAGCAAGTTATCAGTTTTAAGGCAATTTTATTGTATTAACCCTTTGATACAGGTGAAAGGACAGTGTCCCATGCATTTTTCTGACGCTCTAATTACTAGCAAAAATACATTTGGGTATTTTAAAATTATAAAAAACAGTCTAATAGTTATTAAAAAAATTCCATTAGATATCAGAATTATATAAGTACTAAAATATAAAATCCAGAGAAAATAGTTTTTCACTTACATGCAAAAATTTACCAACAATTGGTTTTATAAACTAAAGAAATTTCAATGAAGAATAACTATTTCTCTAATATCTAAATAATTGTACACCTACTATATCAATATAATAATATTTTAGGTCTAAATGACTAACACCTTTCGCAGAGATGGAGAGGTGCAAATGCTTACTAAAATTTTCAGCAATAGGCCACAAGTCAGCTTTGGGAGAGATTTTTTTTCACTTACAAGCTCTTTACCGTAAAAAAAAACTCATAGTGCCGTAGTAGCTCAGGGGATAGAGCTCTCGCCTTCCAATCAGGTCAACCGGGCACGAATCCCAGCGATGGCTGCTCGATGCGAATTCCGCACCCTGCTCGCACCAGCCACTGTGCTGATATAAAATATCCTCAGTGGTTAATGGATCATGGGTTAGAGTCCCCTTGCCATCAGACTAACCATGAGAGGTTTTCGTAGTTTTCCTCTCCATGTAACGCAAATGCGGGTAAGTTCAATCAAAATGTTTTTCACGAAGGTAAATTTCTCCCAATACTTGTTATTTTGTCTTCTGCATTGGATTAAAAAATACAAGGCTACGGAAATGAACATTAGCGGTCATAAGCACAAAATTGAGTCAGCTGTTAAACTACGACTAGAAAAAAACCTCATAACTACGAAAATGATGGTATCTGGTCTGGAAACGCGCCAAACACTTGTTGAACATCGCCAAAATCTAAAGTTGGTAATGGTTTGCGGCTGAATTTCCTTGGTGTTGGTGTTGAGGGAGTTAAAATAAATCACAAAGTGAACCAGTAGTATGGTCTAGAGAAGCTGTTGTACTTTTGTGTTCCAAAAATACTTTCATAATGCAAAGTGGAGTTTCAACAAAACTCTGAACCAGCTCCGAAGACGTAAAAGACACGAAAGTGATGCAAGAGACATTTTCTGAACATGATATCATCTTAAAAATGACCACACAACTCGCCAAATATCAATCCCATGGATTACAGTGTATGGTTCAATTTCCAGAGTAAGGCCTGTGCTACGACACACAAAAGTTTGATCTTCCTAAAGCAATTGCTTCAGAGCCCTAAGATATATTGAAGGTAAAAGACTTGTGGCCCATTGCAGAAAATTTCAATAAGCGTTTGCGTCTCTGCGTTGCTGCAAACGGTCGTCACTTTAAAACCAACGAAACTTATTTATTTGTGAAAGTCCACCTTTAGTATTTCTTTGTTATATTTTGTTAATTTATTATTTTTAATAAAGTTATGTTATTATAGTTATTGTTTGTCCGGTTTTTGCTGCTGAACTCTGCATTCGAATCACTTGCGAGGAAAGCGGAAATAGAAGCATCAAAACTCGCTTTGTTTCCTGTAAAAACATGGCGGTTTTCTAATAATCAGTTTTTTTATTTCACTGTGACCCATAGCAGATATCAATCCCTAGATATAGCAGATGTCTCTTTCTGACAATCAAAGAGGTTTTACTGTTTTTAGTTCGTCTTTCTCAAGGTTCATTCATCAAATTTCAACGGTCTCGCTTAAGTCGCGGCTTTATAAATACCTGTATAAGGTCACAAAAGTTATGCTTCCCACAAAAATAAAAAAAAATTAAAAATTTCAATAGGAACCTATTTTTTTCCTATGATTTGTTCGGAAATCTGCTTATAACTTTAGAATGTACAATAAAAATGCTCATAAATTGCTTTGTTTACATAAATGTGTGTAGCAGTAAAGGTTCGTGTAGGATCAAGTAAAAAGGCCTACTCTGAGGGGCTATTTTCTGTTTTGTGTTATGTGTTTTTTTTTTATATTTCTCATCGAGATTATTTGCAGGTATAACACATCGTTTAAAAAAAATATATTATTTTAGAATACAAAAGCTAACGCATACACCCAATACTTTGCAGTAGGTAAAATTTTAAAATCCCACCCAGTTTTCCACCAAAAAAAATTTTCTAAAAATCCAAATAATTTTTGGTAATAAGCTAAGTGAATTTCTTTTTCTAATCAATTTATATCCAAAAAAATATTTTAACACATTACTAGAAATTGGGTCTATAAAGGGCTAATTTTTGATCCATAATTTGCATACTTTATTGAATTTTATTTTTCAACAAGAATTCTAAGAAAAAAGGGTTAAGGGTGTTTAATACGACTATGTGCTGTAGGCTGGTTTAAATAGTTAATAATTACCAAAATCGACTTTTCCCCATCCTGTTGCCACGCACTTCATCCCTAAATATCCAGCTTCTTCATCAGGCAAGCATGCTGCTCTAACATAATCATTAAATTCCATCTCTTTTTCCAACTTAAGCAGAGCTATGTCTTTGTCATAACCATGGTACCAAGGGTTAAAGTGAACTTCAGACACTTGAATCGTTTTCTCTGGACCTTCTGTGAGTTTCAGGTTGTGTTCGCCAACCCTGACCTTCCAAAACACTGGCTGAGGTAAGGAGAACAGTGGGCTATAATAAATGAAGGAAAAATGGTTTCTGTCAGCCTAGTGGCTATTTTCTCCCATTAAATCAAGGGAGGAAATTTGATTCCAAACATGGAATTTCCATTTTAAAAATTTTTAATTTTATTTGCTGAAGAGAAATGGATGGGAAAGTCTGTAATAGCTTTTTTGTGGAACCATGATAATAATTAACGTAAATTTTATGCAATTTTCATTTTTAGCCATTTGAATGACTTGTTCGTTTAAGTTTCCTCATAACCTTCAATGGTGATAGGTCTTCACAATATATCGTTTTTAAAACACTAATTATCACTTTCTAATAACACAGAAGCCCAAATATATCTATGCCAGTTTCTAGCCAGCCGTTATTATAGAGGACCATATGAAAAAAGGCGTCCACATACAATGGGCCCCTACTAAATAAAGCCACCTTGATTTTTTCCATAAATGAAGCAAAGAAAACGTAGGAACCAAACAAATACATTATGAAATCCATATCTAAGCACATACCTACAAGGAGTAATTCACTTGCTGCTTCCCCTGAACTGGAAAAAAAATATGGAATAACCGAATTTTTTATCTAACTTAAAATATGTGTTGTTGCGTACTATTTACCAATCCCAAAAGAACAATAGCATCAATATTATGTCAGTATTATCAATATTATGAAGGCTGCTGATAATTAAAAATTCTAGAATTGCCGCTTTCAGAGAAAACTGGATGCCCCAAATCGGATTTGTCCAGCTGGGAAAAAACGCCATTTACATTGCAAAATTTTCACAGTGTTGGTGTTTGGATAATATGGTGCATGTCACGCATGGCTTGGTCTTTTACCTGCCATATCTCCGGAAGAAAAAATGAGAACAGTCCTGAGTAACACTGTATATACTGAAAAGTTTGGAGCAGAATTGAAGGTTGACGTCATTGAAACGTGGGATAACATTGATGCCACTCTCCTCCTGGGTTTAGTAAATGGTACGCAGCATCTTATATTTCACGGATATGTTTCATACGTTCATATGTTCATACTTGACGGATATGTTTGCTGTACTCGGGCACTTTAATTGTACTTTTTTTTACTTATTATTTTTTCCTGTCCAAGTGAAACAGGAAGTGAGTTACGCCTTGCAAATATATGTTTAGTTATAGATTTTCTCAATATGGATGTTTGGTTGTCATTGTTTTCTTAGTGTCAAGTTATGGCAATATAGTCTAAGTGCCTTTATTTAGTTGGGGCACATTGTATAATAAAGGAGCCTTAAACTACTCAAGGATACTTTTATAAAAAGCTAGGCTATGTATTAACCATCTTAATGCGTAAACGGAACAAAATATAGAAAAACGATTTTTTTTTTTAAACTCAAAATTGGTAATAGAGCAAATTAATTTAATTTAATGCTAATATAATCTGGGAGTTGTTTGAGTGAAAAGTGTTTACATGGTTTGACTCAATTTCAAACAATAGCTTCCAGTACAACTGCTGATTTCGAATCAATTTCGAAGAAAAAATAATGGAAAATTTACAGTAAAAATTCAAAAAAGGTTGCTCTGTTTTAATCAAATAATTTATATTTTTAAATTGATGTGATTTAGTGATTTGAGGCAGGGCAGAATAAAGATGAGATTTTAATTAGATTCTTTTAGATCAGGGTTTTTTTTTATCTCTTTTCCGCGAAGTATTTACGGTTCCCAAAACATTACTCAGTGCTTCATGAAATAGTAAGGAATGTTTAAAATGAAAATAAAACGAATATTTTAAAGTTTTTTTTATTGAAGAGTTGTCAGTACGTCCTTCTCATTAAATCTGTATTTAACTAAACGAAGAAAAAAAATTTGATAAATGCAATAGTGTCGGTAACAAATTGAATCAAACAGCAAATTGTACATCGTTAATATTTGTCTTGAATTTATTTACTCTTTTATGAATTTTTATCTCAAAGAAATTGTTTGCTGACTGCAATGGAAATTTAAACCGAAATGAACATTTTTTTAATTGTTAAAGTATATGTCCTGCAAGCTAAAATAAAAAACGTGACCTTGACTCATTAATTCTATTTTGTCGTGCTAATTACAATGTACTAATTACATTATTATTACAGTAATTATGTATTGTACTAATTGCAGTGTATAACTGTGAGGTAGAAATTGAACGCTCTGCGTTGAATTTCTAATTTCAATTTTCCGATTACTTTTTCAAAAATCCTTTGTGACTGAAAAGCTTTTGAAAATCTCTGTTTTACAGAACCAGGGTTGCTTTTTTACAGTATCAGAGTCATCTGGTTGTTTATTTTTTTTTTTGGGGGGGGGAGGAATTTTTAAGCCTGAAATTACACTTACATAGTAATAAATTTTTTATAATTCTCAAAAATACTTAGATAATCATTTTATACATTTAGGAGTGTTTAGATTATGCGATTTATCATTCTCATCAATGAAGTTTAAAGCTCTTAAAGGTTTGAGGGACCAGCAATAAATTGCAAACGAAAAATAGTGTTTTTGAATACCCTAAGCCAAAAGGTGTAGCGATAAATTTGTAATTTTGGTTATTATATGCAGCAACAGCGCAATATTTCGTAAACCAAGCTTAAATATTTATGGTGATATGGACATTTTTATAAATAAAAAAAACAATATTTTGTCGTATATTTTTTTGCTATAACTTAAAAGATATTCAATAAAATTAAACAAAATTTTTGGAGCAATTTAACTTCTTTATTTCTTTAAAATTTGAGGAAAATTTGTTTAAAACAGCGCAACATATGAGTAATTAAGGTAATTCGTTTATACTGCTCATACACGGAAAAAATTAATTGTTTTTTTCATAATGTTGCAGTGAATCGTATTTGGCAACTAATGAAAGAAATCCGATTTGAATATCTTAAAAATTTAAAAAGTCTTAAGCAATTTTCTCTTTCTTTCTTCGTACTTTAGAAAAGAAAGCTCAAAAATGATAAAGGTTTTGCACAAATTTCATTTTGTATTTTAAACAATATTTATTAAAATCGACACCAGTGTTAAAGTTCATCCCTCATAAAAGTCTTTCTTTTTTTCTTTTTTTTTCTTTGGCGGTTTTTTTTTTTTTTACTTAATGCAATTTCCTTTTCGTGTACGAACGTTTAGTGAATTGTATTACCATTTGTTATTTAATTTTATAAATATTCCATTATCTTACGATACAAAAAAATATTTGTAGAAAATCATTTATCATTTCGAACTTTATTTTAATATGTAAAACACTACTTTAAAAATTGTTTGAAACTTTTTAAATGTTTGAGACATTCAAATCGGACTTTTTTTGATTAGTCGCCAAATACGATTGACTACAACATAATGAAAAAAATATATATACCATTTTTTTCCGTTTATGAGCAGGTTTAAGAAAGCATTTCAGAATTATTTTAAATTGCTCTAAAATTTTTGTTAAATTTCATCGAATATTTTTGAAGTTACAGCAAAAAAACAAAAGACAAAAAAAATTGAATTTTATAAAAAAAATGTCTATATCTCCATAAAAATTCAAGCTAGGCTAACGAAATTTTGTGCAATTATTGCGTATAATAACCAAAATAATTATTACACATTAAAAATTTATTACTACATTTTTTGACATAGGTTGTTCTGAAAAACTATTTTCCGTTTATAATTTATTATCGATCCGTCTATCCTCTAAAAGGTTTAAACTTTATTGATATGTATGAGAAATCACATAATCTGAAGTTATAAAATGATTCTTAGAATATTTCTTGAGAAATATGAAAAAATGTATTAGTGTAGAAGTATTTCCATTATTTTGTCCACTCCCTGTATAATCACATTATTTCAAGCTTTTGAATCACATCTTTAGTGTTGCTGGATAAAATAACTTTGTAGTGACTCCCTAAGGTAGTATGCTCCATATTTCAGAACTCGAAACACAAGGCTCATTGCAAAGCAAATTCAGCCTGATTGATCAACTCTTGGCTTATTTCCTAATTAGACAGAAAGTCATATAACATAATTGTAATTAGCCTAAGAATATAAGACTAAGTAGAAATATTGAAGATTTTTTTTTCAATTAGCACGGAGCATTTTAAAGAGTCTGACTGTTAAACTACGCTAAATCTTACGTAAAAAGTAGATATAGGCAGTATTTTCTATTCTTCTACGCAAATTTTGTTGATCGCATTATATTAAATGTTAAAATCTTTTTTTTTTATTTATTTTTTACATGGTTTTGAAAATTTTAAAATCAGACACGTACTGTAAAATACGTAAAAGATGTATAGGTCATAGTATTTTTTAATATAACGAAGTCAAAATGCATTCTTTATTTCTAAACTCACTTAAGTGTACAATGCTCACTTAAGTATACAATACTCACTAAGTATACAATACTCACTTGAATATACAATACTCATTCAAGTATACAAAACTCACTTAAGTATACAATACTCACTTAAGTATACAATACTCACTTAAGTATACAATGAGCAGCTGTCAAAACCCACTGTTTATGAACTATTACAGCACCACACCAATGGCCGACTCTTCCAAATTGTGGATGCGTTAGCATTAACGAGGCCTACACAAAGAGAATGCAGAATATGTAATGAAAAATAGTTACCACAAGATCGAATGGTCAGATATTTAATTGAGTAACTATTATATAAAGTGAAAAGTAGAACAGTTTTAAGAAATCATCATATTCTCATAGTCACTCATAGTCACTTTCTCATAGTCACTTTTCCGAAATAAAAAAAAGAATCTGTATACAAAATAAATTGTACTTATAAAAAAATGAACTGCGATCTATCAAACAAAATTAACACAGAAATTGCACTAAATGGTTTAAGAGGAATAGAAAAAATTGACTTATTGACGCCAATGTAGGCGCCAGTATAGATTATTATTGACGCCAATGATGCTTAATTAATTTGATTGGCAATAGTGTTATTCTGGAAGTTGGTGCAATTTAAATAAGTGCTAAAATTACAAATATGCGTTCACTGTAAGTATGTTTAATACCTTTAAAAACAGCATCGAAACTGGTAAGTTTTAACATAGTTACTGTTAAAAGTGATTTTTACCATCCCACAAAAGGATAAGTAACGGAGAAAATCGCGTGATTGTGGTAAATTTTGGCTATCATGACTTGGCCTCGAGCAACAAATGCTACTGAACGTTACTGAATACAGTTAATCTTCATTTTGATGGTATGAACTTTTAAAAACAGGATTTGCTTAATCTAACAAAGTAAAGTCACTTGAATGGCCTCAAATAATAACAATAACTAAAGAAAATATATTATTTCGTATTTATTACTTGCGTCGGTATACAAGTTTCAATTTCGGGCATGATTTCGTTCAGTAACGATTTATTCATTATTTTCCTATTTTAACCTCATAAAAACATATAAACTAACACAAATATGTTTTAAACAAATGAGGTAGATGAATAAGATATGCAACTGCCAGCATAAGTAATAGATATAGCGTTTCAAAAACTTGAACGCTATTCATTTTTGCATATTTTCGCTTAAGGTCATTCGCCCAGCGAGTAATTTAAATAAACTGCAATCTTGGAACAGTATTATTATATGGCTTTTACAATTCCAAAAGTAATCTCCAATTGAGAAAGACCTTTTTTGATATCTCGCTCAAACGTAAAGAAAAAATAGGTGCCTTAGGGCAAACGTTGTCTTCATAATTAAAGTCTCTGTGCTCGTAATAAAAAGAAGAAAGAAAAATTAAAGAAAAATACGTGATGCTTTTCACCTGCCAAGGCCATTTATGTGGTTCTGTTTCATTACCACCAACAATCCTGCTCGTCAAAACAGGACCGATGCCACACTCTGAGAAAGAAAAAATGAGAGTAAAATTAGGTAGATAACAAGTAAAACGTAAATGCACTCTAAATTAACCAGAGATTAAATCAATGAATCTAGGAATCATTTATAATTTTAATCATTATTCTAATCTACTTTTTAATTTTACGAAACTTTTCGATATTCTTTTTTCAAAATATTTCGATGAAATATTTTGAAAAAAAGCATTTTTAATTTCGAATAGACTATAAAATTACATAATTAACTATTAAGACTTAAGTATTAACTTAAATTTCGAAGTTTAGTTAATTCATGTTGAAAATAATTTATTTATGGATTTGTTTTGCTTTTTTAAATTGCTTAAATAATACCAATGTTTGATAAAATGTAATTGATAAATTTGGAGTTAAATTATCAAACAAAAGATGCTTTTATCTTTGACAGCTTGTAATAGTTGTTTCTATACGTTAAAAGATAAAAATGTTTATAGTATAACAGCTATCCTTTCTTCGAATTCTTTCGACAATTTATTATATTTTAATTTGAAATAATTTATTAAGATATTTTACATAATTTATTACAATATTTTATTTACTTTATTAAGGTTATGATCTCGATGATATATGTTATCTAGATTGCAATATAAATTTAAATTTATAAAGGTATTTAATTCCTATTGAATATAATGTATTCAATTATTTTGTCATTTTAACAGTTTAAAAGGTATCGATGTTAGATAGAAAAAAAATCGATAAATTCGGTTCTAAATTAGAATTAAAAAGATGCTTTAATCATCGGCAGCTTATTGTAATTTCTTCTATTTGTCAAAAGATAAACACTCTATTATGACTGTTTATATTTATTATTACGTCTTAAATGTAACCATGATTTTATAAATGTGATTAATACTTAGAGAAAATAATTTATTTAATTATTTGTTTAACTTAACAGTTTTAGGGACATTATTGTTAGATGAAAAGAAAACGATAAATTCAGTGCTAAATTATGATTCAAAAGATGGTTTAATCATCGACGGCTTATAATAATTTATTCTAATTGTCAAAAGATAAACATGCTTATAATATTCATTTTATAGTACAGCTTAAATGCAACCATGATTTTATAAATGTAATTAATACTCATATAAAATGATTTATTTAATTATTTGCTTAATTTAACAGTTTTAGGGATATTATTGTCAGATGAAAAGAAAACGATAAATTCAGTGCTAAATTATGATTCAAAAGATGGTTTAATCATCGACAGCTTATAATAATTTTTTCTATTTGTCAAAAGATAAACATGCTTATAGTATGACTGTTTATCTAATATCAAAATATAAATTATCCTTTCATTAAATTCGTAAGACAATTTATTATGTTCCCTTTTAAAACATTTAATTAAGATCATATAACATATATTATTAAAGCTTAACTGTTAACATCAATTTATAAATGTAATTAATTCTTCAAGAAAATCATTCATTTAATTATTTGCTTACTTTAACAGTTTAAATAACGCTAATGTATGATGAAATCAATAAACTCGGTTTCATTGATTTCATTCACACTGGATTCAAAAGAAATCAATAAATTGGAGGTTGAATTACCACACATCAACAACGTGTAATAAATGATTGCTTCTATTTGTCAAAAGATGAACATGTTTAGAATATGATTGTTTATCAGACTTCTAAATGTAACTATTCCTTTCAATGGTTTCTTAAGTTGATTTATTATGTTCTCCTTTGTCAGACACGATTTATTTTATGACCACACCTAAGATTGGCTGGAAGGCATCATAATAAATCTGATTTCTCTGTTTCTGGAAGACAACTAATTTCTCAGTCCTTTCTCGAATTAAAATAACAATTAGATTTGTAAACCTTAAATTCTTATGCAAGCTTTAAATACAAAAAATTGCTACAACGTGAAGAAAATATTTAATTCAAAAAATATAACATCTTCGGGATAACAAATTTAAAGAAGGTTAAAGGTAAAACTAATTTCTAGAGTTAAGTATAGCCTTGAGGGTTGTAATATAGCCTTGATTCATACTATTCTGTAGTTTTTCCACTCAAACTCATCCTATGGTATGCGATAAATAGATCTAAATGCTTACTTTGTGTTACATATAAATAAAGTCGAGACAACTAAAAAAAAGTAGAATAGTCTTCACGTATGCAAAATTGAATGTTTCTCTGTACATTTCGCATTGTTTCTGTTGTTTCTAATGACACTTGAACCATCTGAACTTGTCAGTTACTGGTCTTTTGCGAATTAACTCGGGAAGGTGCGCCTTTCGTTTGACAAGAGAGCACCGCAAGGATGAAATTACATCTTGGCTCAAAACCCTAAAGATGGAGGGCAGTATCACTCTTCCATGAAGCCACTTACTCAATTTAAACATAGATCTGAAGGGGAACGAAACTTTCTCCAGATCCCTGCGCCAAGTGACCGACCACGGAACTTTTAATTCCACAGATTTTACAGGGAAGTATATCGCATATACTCTGTAGGTCTTAGCAGAGTCGATGATCGAACCCGGTACCTCAGTACCAGAGTCTGTTTCGCTAACCACATAGCTACCATGGCCAGTACATTTCATATAATCTTCAAAGGCTTTAATCCAATAGAAGGGAAATTTGGCACATTGATAGTTTAAAGCACGAAAAAGGACACTATGAACATCAGGACACTCGATTACGTACCGTTTGAACATAGTGTGTGAAAATCAAATTTTCTCATGGGGTTAATATTAAAGCTTTGAATCTTATATTTAAAATATGATATCTATAGCTTTTAAGAGCTTAAAGCTCTATTTAATAAACTACGAGTTTCGGAAAAAGTTTATAGCAAGTTTTTCATGCTTCTTCCTAGGTTCCTTAAGTCACGTGAACAGAAGTAAAATCACGAGGAGAGTTTTAGTTGTATGCAGGATAACGAGTATGGAATTGATGTTTTGAAAGCTACTTGAAATACCACCCCGTGCTTTTACTGTTTATAGCTATGTATTTCAAATATTTTTCTAAAAAACATAAATTATGTGAAGTTAACGAGAATTTTAAAGAGTCAAAATTGAAGCGTTGATTAATCAGTGCCAAATCAACCGGAAAATTGCGTGAATGTGATAAAATCATGACTATCACAAGTTGGCCGCAAGCGATAGCAACATTTTTTATGGTAAATAATACTATATATAGTTAATCTTTTCCTTCTATTGGGCGAGTTAAACTTCCTAAAATTTTGTTCTGTTGGATTCTAAAATGTAAAGTCCATGCCAAGCATAACAAAAAATAATAAACATTTGGAACTTAAGTACTATGGACCGAATCCGCGGAATATTTTGTAGGTGGGCTTAAGAAAAATCTGGGTTAAGCTCCTTGAAACTTAAATCATCAAAAATTGTAATTAAAATATTATTGTTATTAGTAATTATCGTCGAGATTACAATATTAGATTATAATTGTAAGATCGAGATTATAAAATAAATCTAGGTTTAATACATAATTATGATCCTAATTAAAGCGTATCTTGACTGTTACGAATTTAATTAATTATTATTTAATTTTATAACTGGCATTGAACAGCTGATCCAATTCTATGTTCATAACTATCAACGCTCAACTTCATAGCATTGTAATTTTAAACTCAATGCTGAAGACAAGGGAACTCTTGGATCAAGCATAAGGACAAATCAGCCTTCGTGAAAGACTTTCTGATTGAACTAACCCGCATTTGCGTTACATTAAGAGGAAAACCTCGAAATCCTCCCACAAGTAGCACTACGACAAGGAGACTCTAATCCATCTATCACTGAGGTTATTTTATGACAGCACTGAGGTCGGTGCGAGCTGGGTGCAGAATTCATATCAACCAGCCACCGCTGGGATTTGAACTTGAATTACCTCATTGCGATATGAATGCTCTTTTCTTCATTTACGTTCATCGAGGCTAAAGTATTTAGAAAATCGGAGGGGTTTTTTTTATATAGGTTTTTTAATCCGAACAATGCCGGGTATAACTAATATGTAAAAATAAAAATGAGAATTTGTTTGTCTGTCGTAAGTACGTTCCAATAAAATTCCTTTTACTGCAGTGAAATTTGGTTTACAGGCATTTCCAAACTCGAGGACGGATTAAAACATTTTATCCGAAAACCTTCAAGCGGGATATGTGAAAAACGGATTTTTCATTAGATTAATATTACGAATAGTTTCAAACAAATTACAGAATACTTTCCCAGGTAAGTCTAGTTTAAATCTTAGTAGCTCATATAGATGTTAATAGTTTTTGCTAAATACGATTACAATTGTGGTTGTAGAAAATCTGTTTTCAGCATTGAAAAAATTTAATTAGTATTGAAAAAATCAAATTAGTATAGAAAAACCAAACTAGTATTGAAAAAAAAACAAATTAGTATTGAAAAAATCAAATTCGTGTTGAAAAAAAATTTATAACTACGGATTTCTTTTAAAGATCATTCCCATTCTAAAATGTGCTTTAATAATTCTAATTATCAAAATTAGTAGAAAAAACAACGAATAGTAAAGTAACTTAAAATTATGTAATCAGTACCAATTTAGCGAAATTATTTTATTGAAGTTTAAAAGGAATTTTAAAAATTAACAAACTCTGAATCAGCGAATCACTTACATGTTGTATTAATCAATTATACAATAGACAAATCAGTGACTTACGAATAATGTTTTGGAGAAATCTATAAATCGGAATATTAGAAAACTGGTGAATCAGATTGAAAATAAATTTTGAACAAATGCTTTAAAACATAAAATTTGTTGTGCTGCAGTCAATGACTATAGTTATCATTTATTTATTTATTAAATTTCACATCTTTCATCAGCAAGAAAATAAATAAATTATTTATAAGTAATTAAATTATTACAGAAATTCTGGAAATTCAAAGGAACTTAAAGCAATCTAATTGAGAAATTAAGAAAAAAAATTAAGCTCATATTTTTGAAATACTATTGCATCATGATTTATTTTTACTTTTTCTAAAATAATTAGTAAAATTAAAAACAATATCTTAATTTCACTTTATGAAGCTTCCTTTTTTCGTCATGTAACACCAAAATACTAAAAAAAAAAATACATAAAAGGAGCGTTAATTTTCAATAAAATCATACTTTAATTAAATACCATTTGAGTAAATATTCAAATTCTTAGTATCAAAATAATAAAGCTCATTTTATCCACACTTTTAAAAAAAAATATTTATTTTTGCAGAAACTCGTCTAGAAAATAAATAAACGAATAAAGAAACTTACTCTCAAAATTTTCACCACCTTCCGCTAAAGATACCAACGATACGAGAAGAACAATGCAAGGTATCGGAAGGAAGAAATGATTGGGCATCTCTAAAGAGAGACAGATGGATCTGAGTAACAGGGTGGTGTCACCAAGGTGTTCTTGGCATGGCCCTAAGAATGTATGATGATGGGCTCGCGGCTGTGTCATCCACAAGAGGCCATCATCCTTACAAACCGGATTTTTAAAATTACTCTCTCCCCCTTCCAGAGAGAGAGAGTGATTTTTTGGCATCAACGGAAGCGACACTTTTATCAACAGACCATCAATTTATCCTACTCAATTATTCCGCAATTTTTATTCTCGCCAAGTTAATGGAAATCCAAGTACCTTGCTTCTAACCGTTTTCAGTGGTTATAAGTGGATTCCCATTTGTTGAAGGTTAGGCTTTGTTTTCACACTAATACATTTGGGTCGGTCAAATTTACATAGTAGTTGCTCTAAGACTTCTAAGGAAATAAAAATTTTAAATAATAAATTGTTATTATTATTTTGTTTTATACTTTGAAGATTTTTTTTTTAATTGAACTTGTGGTACAAACAGGGGTGTAAATTTATTTTCTCAACCCTATTATTATTTGACGGATAAATTCTTTAACTAATCAGTTTATCAGTTACATTATTATTTAGTTCGGAGATTTTTAACTTATAGGTTTTGATCTGGTGGGTGTGGGTCGCTATTCCTGTTCAAAAATTAAAAATTTTGAAAATGAAATGAATAATATTTCTAACATTGCCTGTGCATTCTACTTAAAGATTAATGATTAAACCTAAGTATTCCATACAAAGAAAGGGCAACTTACACAATAAGAAATCAGCCATGAAGCTCCGTATGTATTCATAAGGCTATAAGGATGAATATTTGCCATCTTTTCAAAGTACTTTTCAAATTTTAAAACAAATTTATCAATTACACTTATCTTTATTGAAAATTATCCATAAGTTATTTATTAAGTATCGCTAAGCTGCGTCAGTATATTATATTTATTGTCATTCTTGCTTGCAATACATTATTTGGAAAGGTACGTGCATTTTACACAACATTACGTAACATTAGATGCATTAACATAAAAAATGAATTCCATGATTGTTAATTATTCTATTAGTTGCCTAATTAAAATTAATTAAATTACCTAAAATAAAGTGTTACGTTGTTAAAATAGGTCATGCATTTCTTAGCTGGATTCTAAATGTTAGCGGTATTTTTGTCTGAGGTATATCCGTCCGTTTTCGTTCGTATTTCAGGGGTCGTTATAGAGCGTCAACTGATCAACTGTTTGAATAGGAAGAAAACGAGTAAAAATCAGTATTTGCTATTGCAACAGTGTTTAGCAGATGAAGTAAGCTGGTTTAAAAATAAAAGTTTCTCATACAAGCTCTTTTTTTTTAAATCTTTTTGTGTTGACTTTCAAGTTTCATTTCTTCAGTTGTCAATGAAAAAAAATCTAAACTAAACAAATAAAACTAAACCTTCTCCCTTTTACGCCTATAAACTTAATAAAAAATTGCTTGCGCAAATGTGAACATACTTACTCACCCATTAACGCAGGTGACTTGACCTTCTTTTCGTGTTGATTGTAAAATAAAGGTTAGGAACAAAAATTATTTTATTATTGATCATGAAGAACTCAGAATAGTGATAACTGAAAATTCTCTTTGCCTTTTTCCCAATTACAAACTTATGTCGAAACAAGAAATAAAGAAGTCGTTGGCATCTGAAAATGTTCTGAAAAATGTAGTTGGGCTTAGTAATTATTTCACAATGTTTATCTCCCTTTTTTCTCAAAAGGCAAATAAAGATCGAAATCCAATAGAGTGTGTGTTCGTAGTAGAAAATATACTTTTTTAAACTGTAATACGTAAACTGAAAGGAAAATTTTCAAACGGAAAACTTTACCGTAAAATCGATCTTAAAATGGCAAGAAAAGGAAATTTTGTTTTATTTTTGCGTTTACTCTAGTTTCATTTTTGCCTTTAAAAAATAGACAAGTATGAAAGTTTCGTAAAAAGAAACTTTGCCGAAACAAGATCTATTTACAAATCTATGGTTACTGATTCGTATAATATGGGCCTAAACTTTGAGGTCTCAACCTGATGAATTTGCAAATAGAAATAGTTATGGGAAAGCTGTTAAGAGTTTTACAGAATTTGATTTGAGCCTAATATTAATATCTCGAACTAACACCCTCCCAGGAAATGAGCTTTGATCTCTGAGGAAGAGAGATTTCACTTAGGGGGGGGGGAGGCAAAAGTGTCAAGACATATTCGTTGCTATCTGAAGAAATTTTTTTTTCTTTTCTTTTTTTGTCGTGTCTATGACATAGCCCAATCAAATGTTTCCATGAGTCTTGATTACTGCTTCTGCGATTTGCTTGATGTTATCGTCATAAAGGTCTGTCAATGACGGCAATACTCCTATTTCTCTCAGATTAGCACTCATTGCTGGGCACTCAAAGATGTGGCATGGTGTCAGCTACGTATCTGGGCAGGAGAATTGATATGTTTCTTATCTAACATTTTATGAGCATGAAAATGACACCCAAGTCGATATATCTAATCGTTAACTAGTTATTTAAGTTTCTTTTATATAGAGACAGTACAAATTCTGCCTCATTCATATTTATGCGTCTGACATTGCTACGCAGGCAAGTGAGGTATTGATTCCAATATATTTTTTAAGAAATGGATAGGAATACTTCAGTTCATTAATAGTTTCAAAGTTATAAATGTTTTTAGTCGGTATAAATTTTATTCCTACATGTTATTCCGGTGAAATAGCCGCCTTAAACAACAAACCCTTCTCAAATGAAGCTTCTGAATAGGAGATAACTGGTATTGATTATAACACGTTCCAGACAATCTTCATTGTCACCTTCAAGAAGTAAATCAGTTTTATCTAAATTATAGACTATTAAACTTTGAAGTGCGTGAGTTTAAACTTATCCTGTATAACTCCAGACTTATATTTGAACTTTTATCTGTAAATACAAGCGACAAGTGTAGAAGTAGGTCTTTTATTGAAATAAAATAACATAAACATCACTTATGAGAGGCGCGGTGACATAAATTTTTGTATTTCCAATCCATAACCACTCTTTTCTTCGAAGTGGGTGAGGCATTCAACCAATACGCTTTTGTAATTCAATAATACTGCAATGTTCTCGTTTATTTTGTTAAATAAAATGAAATAATTTCATTGATATAACAATTTTATGCTCGATAATATATTAAGTGGAAGTCGAAATCCTGATGCCTCTGTCTAATTTGTATCCTCAATCCTTTATATGGACGAAGAACGAGTTCATTTATAAGATGGACTTGGTCTCTTGCATCTAAAGATCTCACTTTGAATCTTCTCAGTATGGTAGAAAGAATGGTTTTCTCTTCCATAAGAGCAAATTTTTGACCTAAATGGAAAACAAATATTGTATAATTGTGTCTAATATAAGATAAGATTACTATAAGATAAGATTACTATAAGATAAGATTTCTATAAGATAAGATTACTAAGAAGAATTACTATTAGAAATAATTTTGCTTATTGACACTAGAAAGTCTGAAATACCTATACTGCCCGAAAGCAGTCAAAATTACTGGATTGGGAAAGAATAGCTAATGTGCAAGGAAATTTGTTTAAAATTAATTTTTAATATTTTTTGCATTATTTACAGTTACATAACAAGCTATTAGTAAATATTAACAATAAAAAAATTATCTGTTGTACAAAAAGTCACAAAATTCCAAGGAATTGTATCATTGCTTTTCTAATTGAAATTAAAAAGCAGTCAAAATGACTTCTTTAGGCAATTTAGTGTCAAATTGCTTTAATTACAGCGTCCTCTTTTGTTAACGACAAAATTTTGACCAAATAAAAACGGACATTCTCCATAATTATAACTGAGTAACATAACTACTGAAAAACAAAAATGGTGTACGTTCAGTATTTCTTTAGTCTTATTACTAATTGTGGTAAAGTTTTGATCTAAATGAAAATTATTATGACTGCTTAGATATGAAAATTTATTTAAAAAATATCAAATAACCAATTCCGTTAATATGTGTCTCTTATTCTTTAAAAAGTTTGACCTAAGCAAAAAGCAAACATTACATAATAATATTCAGTATAACTGATTTTCATAGCAATGAAAGTGGTGCATTTTATCAATTCCCATTTGTGACAAACTTTAATCTCAACAGAAAACAGATTATGACTATATTTTGTACCATTTTAAAGAAAAAATGTCAGATAATAAATAATAAAAATATCATATAATTTTTATTGCAATTTAAGAAAATTGTGAAACTTATGAAAATTTAATAAAAATACATCAAATGACTAACTTTTTTTAAATGACTCTTCTTAAGGTAGGCATTTGTATAAAACAAAAAAAAAGATTTTATCTAAATCTGATTAGATTTCATTAGCTTAGAGTAAAATGTCAACTATCATACTTTATTGTACTGAATTAATTTTTTAATGTCATATTCATTCAATGTATAGTATTCAATGTATTTAGGCCAATATTTTAACCTAAATGAAAAAGAATCATAATATAACTATGACTAAGGTATGGACAGACATTATAGCATCAACATATAGACATTAAACATTACATAATTTGTAAAGTATCAACTCTTCAAATCTATTTTGAACATAAAATAGAGTTGATAGAGAAAACGTATAATAAGATTACCCGTTTTACCCATACAATGCGCCCCGCAGTGGACTGAACGTTAAGACACGGTTCCCAGCAGATCACCGAAGTCAGCCATCACTGGCTGCGGTCAGTGTGCTGGTGGGAGACCACTTGGATCAGTCTGCGTTGGGACCGAGGGTGTGCGGTATTGACCCTCGTTAAAGTGTTCTATCGTAAAGTACTCGACTTTGAGTGTAAGTCGTCGGGCTACTGAAGCGGGGGTGCCATACCCTCTGTAGAGGATCAAAATTGTGATGACGTGTCTTCGGATCATCCTCAGGGATGTTTCCTAGACTGCCGCCAATAGCCCATTGNGAACAGACCTCGACTTTGCGTGTAAGTCGTCAGGCTACCGAAGCGGGGGTGCCATACCCTCTGTAGAGGATCAAAATTGTGATGACGTGTCTTCGTGCCTCAGGGATGTTTCCTAGACTGCCACCAATAGCCCATTGTGCAGCTTTAGTGCGACGTAAATAAACTACAACTACAACAACAACCTATACATTGCTGATACAAATTTTAATGCTTTAAAAATATCTAAAGTTGGATAAAGATTTTTGCATTTATACTTTAATTTATCAGGCTAACATTACATTATACCATCATGTTTGGTTTCAATTTAGTAATAGTTGGAGTGAAATCCAGCAAATGCTTAAGTTTTGCTGATGGGGATGTTTAATTGTCATATATTTTTCTTAACTTTTTAACACCATGAATGTGTCTCGAGTTCTAATTATTGAAGAATAGCAAGATTAAAAAGTTGTACTTCGTGTACTTGTAAAATAAAAATTTCGTTAATGTACTAGGAGGTTACACTTCATGTTCACTATGCTGAACAAGCCCTGTAATTCCTTCTCATTCATCATTGAAAATCAAGGAGAAAAAACAGCTTATGTCCATTTTTTTAAGCATTACGGCTGATTTATCTTCAGATGCATTTTGAGGGTTACTAAATTTTTGAAAATCAATGACATGGCAGTAAAATCGGAATGAATAGAATCGGAATCAGAACAATGGAAAATAAATTCGGTACCACCCGTGAGTTATTGTGCAGTGAAGATGAACTGCACTCGAAGACAACAATTCCTGTCCGTGCACAAATTCGGTTTTTCTCAGAATCAGCGTATATGGACCTAAGCCTTTCCTCCTTCTTGATCTTAGAAAAAAATGTTTCTTAAAAGTCGATAAAAAATATCATTTTGTTCATGTATAATTGTTATAATTTTATGTAAGTATATTTAATTAATATATTAATCGTAATGAAATGAAAGGATAGGTGGATTTGAAAAATAGCCAACACTACAAGAAAGAAGATTTTAAACTTAGAAGCATAAAATGTGCGACACAATCAGTAGAAGATCATAAAATAAAAAAATTATTCTATTTTAATAGAAAAATAAATTACTAACCAATGCAGTTTCGTGGTCCGGCAGAAAATGGCACGTATGCAAACGGGTGCCTCCCAGTAATATTTTCAGAAGAAAACCTCTCCGGATCAAACTTCTCTGGATTTGGGAAATATTCTGAATCTCTATGCAATATATAAGCATTCACCAAGCAAGTTGAACCTTTCGGTATAATGAAACCGTCTAAATTTACAGGAAAATGGAACGTTAATTATTCCACAAGGATCAGCACATACATTATATCATGAACGAAGAAAAAGTAGATTAAAAATTTCCTACGTAGTATACTGTAAAAAAAAGTAGATGAAAAGTCTTTACAGAGGCAATCACACAATTTAAAATTTTAATTCGTTGCTTAGCTGCTAAACATTGCTCGGCTATTAAAATATAGTATATTACCCACCCCACAACTTATGAATACACTTAGTTTCTAATAGCTGGGTACATACTGTAATCCAGTGAGCTAATATGTCACTCTCATGGCCGACGGAACGGGGGTTCGAGTCCCTGTGTTGACACCACAATGTTTCTTCTATTTCTTCAACACATGACGAATTTCCTATATCCTGCTCTCCCCAATCGGGCATTCATTGTTATTAAAATACGAATCTCTTATTCACGCGATGATGACAGCACTTAAGAGATTCTTAATACAATAAAGTCTAGCTTTTCTCATTTCTTGCGATAGATGGCACCACCAGAAATTTAATTGAGCCTCATTCCACAGTTTATTTGAAAAAGAAATCAACTATAATTTAACACAAATGTCCATTACCTAACAGAAAAAGTTTTAAGTAACCTAATTCCAATGCTCAGTTAAATTTTTTTTACAGTTTAGAAACCATGCTAAATGTAGACTACCAAATAGTTATGTATTCACGGTTTTTTAACCATACTAATTTCAAAACTGAAACAGTAAAAAATGTTCCTAACCATGAACGTTAAGGGTAATTGAATGTACAGACAGCTACCGGTAATTTTACCGCAATTTTAGAATGAAAATTCAAACAGTGTAGGATTTTGCTTAGCCAATAAAGTGTATCATATATGCTTAGCAACGAAAACTTAGTTCATTAATTGGCTATTAAAATTTACTATATATGCTTAGCTATTAAAATTTAATTCACTTCCACTTTTAGGACGCACATCATGTTAATGGACGGCAATAACCAAGGACTTTTAAAATCTAAGAATATGCATACCAAAACTTACGATACATAATTAAACGTGCTAAATGAAAAGTACATTTATATCACTTACTGCAATCTAGATCTTCTGTCACTTCTCGCCCATAAGCGGGTACTGATGGATATAGCCTTAAAGCTTCCTGAAATGAAAAAAATTTAAAAATTTAGAGTTTTAACTTTAATATTCTCAAAATAAAAAATAAATAAAAAATTTTTGAATATAAAAATAATAACGAAAATGGTCTTTTAAAATTTTGAAACTTTTGCAATTCATAGCAAAAATTAATTAGTTAAAAAGTTAAAAAGCATAAATTAATAGTTAAAAAGCACAAATTTTATGTTTCTTCTAAAGAATGATAAAAGCGAGTCCTGTGCTTTAATGTAAAATCCAATATTATACCTTAATAACGCATTCCAAATATTTCATATTTTTCAGATCCTCGTCAGTGGGGTCCCGATCTTCTTCTCCAAAAATCATATCCAATTCATTGTGGAGTTTTTCCTGAATCCAAGGGTGGAGTCCAATTAAATATAGTGTCCAATTCATGCTCATAGACGTGGTGTCATGGCCCTAAAAAGAATAAATAATCCAAGGATATCATTGAGTGGTTCCTGTAATCCATGATTCATTTATTCGTGCATTTTTAACTTGATGCTTAGAAAGGTTTTATGACCTTAATGGTGGTTCTTAGCAAAAACTAAAATTTTAAAAATGTTACTCTCACAAATGGAATTGTGAAGGTGAACTTATTCTTCTGAATGAGAAAATGAAACGATAAACATCATTCAATCTTTATTATTATTTTGAAATTAAAATAAATGGATTAAGCATTTAATTGTCAGCTATTGCTGGTTAATTGTCTTGTAATACCAGCTTTCATAAAGGGAGCACTCTTACGTAACATAGATAAAGCCACAGTTTGTTAAGGTAAAAATCTACAGACATATATTTTGTAATGAATGCATTGTAATATCAGTTTCCATATTTTTCGCATCTTGCATTAGTAAACAGCTGACAAAAAAATACTCGTTATAATTTTTTTGTCGGATTTTCACACACTTAATTGATGATCCAAATTGTTCAGGGACCAAACCTACCTTAAATATCCTTATTAATTAATGAAGCTTCAGGTTTTGAAATCGGGTACAAAAAAAATCACCTTTTTTTGTGATGAACACGAATTTTTGTCTATCACAGCAGGAAAAGAAAGAAATTTCATCTAGAAAAATTTAGGAAATTTTATTTCCACACAAGGATTTCAGCACAAAAAGGCAATATTTTTTATCTTTTCCTTTTTTAAAATATATTTCTGAAAATGGCTCAATTAATATTTTTTTTTTTACACAAAAGTCAAATTTCATTTATCCAATGATAAGGTACTGCCAAAAATCTTTTATTTTTTAAGCAAAACAAACTTAAAAGCTTAAATATAAAAAGCTTGACAAGATTCAAAAATTGTTACATCGTGTGGAAAATACCTAATTTAAAATGTTGAAAAACAAATTTGCATAAATCCATAAAGTAGATCCTTAAATAATTGAATTCTCCTGTTTACAAAAAAAAAAACTTAAAACAAATCTGTGATTTGAAATAAATTAAACATTTGTATAAAATCACCTCAAATGTAAAAGTATCTACTTCTTCTCTAATTTCATCTTCAGTTATTGAATCATTGTCAATGAGCTCATCCAGCAAAAGATCCAACAGCGCTCTTTTTTTCCTCTTATACTGTATGTCATCATCGGCACAGTTTATATTCAAAGGACTATTCGAATTTTTTAATCTGATTTTTTTATGCTTTTTTTCGGCAATCATCTGAAAAAAAGATATTAAAAATATATAAAATCAAAAAGTAAAGCAAGCCAGTACACCAATCACCTTCATTTCCACAGACAAGCTCGTACATATCGAACTGAAGCTGAATGGGCTTCAAGCCGCCACCGAGGATGGAACCCTGGTTCTGATGATGATTAATGATCAACTAAGGCGAATTCAAAATCCTGTCATTACAGTAGAAATTGTTTATTTTAAGAGCCATAACAACGGTAATAGAAACTCTCCAATATGGCAGCGGGTTCTGCAGATCATTACAACATCTGCAGATTATTTTTCCCTTCGGTTTTCTTTTTATAAAGCAAAAAATTATATGAATGGAAATGGCTGAGATTCCTTTAATAAAATGACTAAGATGTTTAATCCTCAAACTTGTTTCTAGTAAAAATTAAGAAGCTGAATCTAGGGAACACAACGAAGAATAAACAAACTTTAAGATTTTTCATCTGTTACTTAATTACAGGTTAAACTTCATAGGGATTTTTCTTTTTCTGCATCATCATATATAATTCAAGTGAAATTTAAACAAAAAGTCTTGGGTATAGTTTTTAAAGACCTTATATTTGAAAATTTTGCTATATATTGGATTAAGCTAAATTTATACAATAAATAATCTCCGTTTGACTGCATTAAAGTTGCAGATAAATTCGAATTTATGAAAATAGTGCTACAGATTCATTACATGAATTTTGCTATCAGAAAAAATAAGGTTTGGTTGCAGAATGTAATGTTTAATTACATTTTGGGCAACAATTTTTTAAAGGGAGTTTAAGACACCTCAATCAATATGGATATTTTTAAAAATCTTGACAATTTCATAGAGTCAACTCCATTTATTAACGATATAACGAATATTGGAATATTCTGTTTATTAAAATAAAATTTAGGGGAACCAAATCAACTTGTAAGAATAATGTCTCCATTCAAAGTAGTACTTTTACTTTATTTCACCACTTAGTAACATAGTTAACCAGAACAAAACTTATTTATATTCGGCTGATTGAATAACATGTCTTTTTGTAAAATGACGACCGCTGTTTCGGCCGGTTTAGATTCCGGGTTTTTCTAATCGAATGAATTTTTTGAAAATCAGATAATTGGGGAAACTGCATTCTAGAGAAAACTCAAATGTTTAAAGTAACCATCGATATAAACTTGTAAAAAAATTAACAAATGAAGACAAAATTTGTGAAGAATCTAACTTATTTACTTACTCATGCATTATGACGTCTTCTACCTAAACTCAACATTAAAATTTATGCTCTTGATAATGAAAAAAGAAATATTATTAACATTACTATTTTTGTAAGCAGCCCTAAGTAAAAATCCTGGAATAACATTCATTATAATCTTTGCAAAACAAAACCAATTTTTACAAATTTTTATACAAATCTTAAATTGCACATCAACTTATCTCAATCATTAGCAGGGGCTGAGCATTACTGAGAAAAAAGTAGAATAAAACTATCAGAATGTGGTAAAATGTACTATGTTTTTTGGGTCTATTGGAACACCAAAAAGATCGATAACTCTGTCAAAGCACTTTGGTAGTGATTTTGATAAATATAAATATAAAATATTGTTTTATGTGAAATAAAATTTCGTAAAAGTGGTAAAATGTATTAACTTTACCGTGATATCTTAGAGCATGGCATAAAAAACATTTATTCGGTTCAATTTACTTTTCAATTTGTATTTGTTTATAAAGTGTGTGGTAAAAGGAATTACAATTTTGAAAAACAGAATTTCCGGTAAATCGTTACCAAAAATTACTCTATGTATATTTTAAATACCATATATTTTGGTTTTGTTACTAAAATTATGCTTCCTTTATCAGAAATGTCATAACCATAATAATTTTAACTGTAATTTTAACCCAATTTTTCTCTTCGTTCCCTTATTATTACAATTTAAAATAGAAAAATATGCCTCCTTAAATCATTTATATAAATTCAAAAACTTTTTTACTTACTTGATTAGTAAATTCATGCAAAATGCTTTTATTCTTAGCAAATTTTTTACCAAATGGTAAAATAGAAAACAAAGAATCAAACCAGAGCCATGGACTACGCATTCTTTCAAATACTGCACCAGTTAGCCTATATTTAGAATTATTTCATAAAACATTTTTTGAAAACTCTTTGAATCATGTAATTATAAAATTTAAGTTGTTTGAAATATTAAAAATATATACAAGAAAGATGTCTCAAGTGTGACTCTACAAAAAATTTTCTGTTGTAAATACCTTAATTAAAGATAATGCATAAGTGTTTGTTGTATTTTGACTTATCAATCAATAACTGTCAATTAAGTAAAATTAATTCGATAACAACAATCAAATAAACAAGGAGTTATTATAATAAAATATACTTTTCACTATAAAATATGCTTATAACTATGCTTTTGCTATACGAACGTTGCCAAATTCTTGAAAACACATTTTTGGCTTCAAAGTTATTATGAAAAATTAATATTGAGGACTTGCCATGAAACATTATACATTAATATTAAATCCGAGATGACAGCAAATAATTAATCCCTCAATCAACAAAAATTTTGTCACATATTAAAATTTAATTTATCAAAATCCCTAAGCTATGAACTGATTTTTTGTAACCAATATGATGAAAAAAAAATTGTTCTTGCAATAAACTATACATTTAATGTTGACAGCATTTATGTACCAAAAATAATCATGATTTTCTAATAATATTTGAATCACTGCTAAGAGAACACTAGATTGCTATTGGATCCAAAATATGGATTAAATAATAATATTTATAATATTGCTCTATAAATATGGATAATACGAAGTGTTTTTGTAATAATTTTTTCTAAATATGATTTTATAATATACTTGTTAAATCTGGAGAAATTTGTAGTTTTACAATGATAATTTAAAGCACGGAATAAAAACTATTTATTCGGCAAAATTTACTTTTCAGATTTACATTTTTTATTAAATGTGGGGTTATAAGAACTGCAACTTTTAAAGACTGAATTTCTGGTAAACTATTTCTATATGAATGGAAAAATTACCGAATGAATGGTTTAAATACTGTAAATTTTGGTTTTATTAAAAAAATTAAGATTTTTTTTTACCACAATAGTCATTACTATATAGTACGGTAATTTTATCAAAACTTTTTCCTTCGTGTATGAAATCATTGAAATCAGAAGTATTGATTTCTTCTTCTAAGTTTTTAAGAGATTTTAAGGAAGCATTTAAAGGAAAAAAGCTTATCTAAGAATTTTAAAGCATAAAAAATATTCTTCTCAATAAAAAGCATCGATGATAATATTTCTGAATAACTACTTAAAATACGAGAACAATTACATAAAAATTTCATATAAATCATCTAGCAATCTCATGGCCTCTTCCTCTCGGCTTGTTTTTTTCATAAAATCATAAAATAATTATAAACTATTTCCTTACCCATGCACAGCCTGCGAATAAGGATGACTTGGCTGTGTTTGGCTGTTCAACTCCTTTCCCAATATTGATTCTAAAAGAAATTTAGTAAAAAATAAAGTGGTTGAAAATAATAATAATGTTATTAAATCTGAGAAATCACAGAAATTAAACAATGAAATTGTTAAATCTGAGAAACTTAAAAGAGAAACAAATAATAAACTGTAAACAATTGAATCTGAAAAGTTTAAAAAATTAAATAAAGAGACAACGTAATCCGGGAAAAGTAACAAATTTTAAGATTGTGATAAAAAAAAAATGCAGTTTATAATATTAACTTAATTCATAAAAAAATGCTATTAAACCCTTTCCTGTGACTCTTTAACTCAGTTTCGGCAATGCAAATGTGCTAATTGTGGAATGCCCGATCTGAGTTCGGGCAAGAAAAAATTCGGGGAAGCTCGAACTCAGTACATCCAACATATGCGATTTACCCTGGTGTAAGAAATTACAGATTATTTTGTCGATTATCTCTAGAACTACTGGATCGATTTTAATGAAATTCGATAAGTACATACATATTTTGTTCCTAATAAATTTAGAGAATGCGAAATTTTGTTCCTAGAAGGTTTAGTCATTGCGAAAGATTATTTTCACGCCGAATTCTGCACACTTGAGATAATTTTCATATTAAATTACCTTCATTCGGCAAGTGATAACTTTATATTTCTTCTTAAAATGAATTGCAATCGAAGTTCCAAAATGTGAAAAGCTTTTGACAAAACAAGCTTGTCTTATTTCCTTAAAGCTCTCTCAGATTCTTCTTCCAAGGGTGATTCAACTTTCCAGTGTTATAATTTATAGATTTTTCAGCATTAGAAAGTAATCTCACGATTTAAACATGGAGTTAAGTATCCTGCATCTTTCATTTAAAGAGGATTAATCACTGATTTCAGAAGAAGTATACACAATATCTGCAAATGTAAAAACATTTAAAAATTCCCAACAAAAATTTAGTGTTCTTAAATGTTTCTTCTTGATTTTCGTTACGTTTAAGACATCTGCCCATAAAATACTTATATTATTATTATTATTATTATTTTATTATTGTTTTTATTATTGCTTTTATTATTGTTTGTATTATTGTTTTTATATTTGCCATTATTATTTGCTATTATTATTAGGAAAATACTTCTCACGCCCAATTTAAAAATTATTTTTAAATTATTCAACAAAAAACTTTAATATATTTTCAATTCAAGATGACAATTTTAGAAATATTGTGTAGATATATTTTTCTACTATACATTTTTTTCCCTTACGCAACAAAATAAGCAATTATTAAATGTCAAAAAATGTGATATTCTCGATCAAAGCCACTTTCATACTAAAGCACTGCTCTTTTAAAGATAAAAACCACGAATTTTTTTTGGCAACTATTGCTATATTTATATATTTTCATTGTTTTTAGTTGTAATTATTGCTATAAAATCCATTTTAATGTAGCTATATTATTCAATACATTGATGGCTTTCTTACTTGTTTTTATATATTATTATTGAAAGGTTTTAGCTATTATATCTGATTTTTATAATGAATCACGATAAATAATTTTTTTTCCAAATCAAAAAATCGCTTTATTAATGAGAAGAAAAAATGCAAGGGCAAAAAAAATAGTTTTAAGAAATTTTTTAAAAAAAACTGGTGCTTAAAGGAAATAATTGAAATTTTAGCAACACATAATAAAATTTAGACTATCCCTTTTAGTAGAAAGTAAATCTGAATTTTCTAACATTTTAACATTTGGAAACAATTTAATTTGTACTAGATAACGGCATTTTTTAAATTCTTACGAAAAACAATGTTGTATTACTGTTGAGTACGAGTATTTACAGTTTTTTTTCTATAAACTTCGTGAACCTTACAAAGATTTAATTCGTATTCGATTTAATTCGGATTTAATTTAAATAATGATTTTTACGTACCGCATATTACGTCCAGACTGCATAGGGTAATGAAAGGTACAATGTCTATAAAATCATCATGGGTATGTTTATCTAGAATATCAGCCAAGATTTTCGATTGTTTGTTGAAGATTGGTTGAAAGTCCTTTAAAATACTGAAGTGAAAAGCTGGTGTCAGCTGTTTTCTTCGGTGCCTCCATTTTTCTCCGTGGCTATAAAAAATTATGCAAGTTAGAGTTTGATGAATAATCTTATGTAAAAAAAAATGCACTAATACAGTAAAATACAAATTTCCGCATGGTGATAAGTGGGAAGTTTTGTATATAGTATTTGAAGAGTACCCTAGTATTTAGTCAATTATTTCATTTTTTTAAACAAAAAATCTAAACACAAGGAGAAATATATATGATTTATTACAGAGGGAAAGGGTCTAAAATATGATAATTTAAAAACGATGGTTGAAAATACCTTTACTTCTGGCTAAATCTGATTTGAAGTTGAAAATGATAACTATAACACACTGAATTATTTAGTCATGATCTTAAATATCTAATTCCTCTAAATGCCTTCTTTGATGTAATAACGAGAACGGTGTTCTAACATGAAACTCGCAACTAATTACACTGAACCAATAAGTTCTTTGTAACTATGTGATTATTAATTGAAAGGCATACAAGTTTTGCTATCCATCACTTTTCCATTTTTTAATTTAAAAAAAGTCTAAGATATCTGTATAAACTACATAACATTGGAAAAAAGGTCTAAAATATTATCATTCACTGATTTTAGAAGCGACTTGTGTTTATAAAAAAAATTTGAATCTGGCTAAAAATTAATGGTATTCTAAATCGTTAGTTCATGCTCTGCAATCTATTATTCCTTTTCATTCCTTTCTTGAAGTTACAAACCCACCGGAAATTAATTATCAGTCAAATTTGCAGTTGTGGCTCAAAATATTCTGATGAAAAGCTCTCATCAATACGAAGTCAAAAAATTGATTGCTTCTAAGATACGAAGCCTGTATCATGAAAAGCAGTTCTCCATTATATCGTTATCCAATATCTTTCACATTAATCAATGCTCCCAACATTTACATTAATCAATGTGCACAATGTAAATTACAATATATTAAATTTTCATCTGATTTGATGAAGAATTAATTTTCATAATATTTGTGCCGGATGTTTAATTCAACCGGATCTTCGTTTGAGTCAAACCATAGTATGATGATAGAGAGATTTAAAAATCTAACTAAGGAAAAAATTAAGGTCCTCCTACCACGATCAAAATACGTGGCGTGTAGGCCTCAGTGTGGCTCATACTTAGCTATACGATTTTATTCATTTTTTTTTTAATTTTGTCCTCGTTAGCTTTAAGATACATGTTTGCCTGCTTGCAATATGAGAACGATAATCCATCAACAACAACAGCAACAAAATAATAAATAAAATAGATTTAATGTTGAGTCATAATGTTAGTAATTTGAGTATTAATATAAAGCAAAGCTGTTGCAACCATAGTACAATGTTACAGTATTGTGTGACCAACTACAATAAGGATTAATTTGTATGATAAAATCATGCAGTTTGGCAATGCATTAAGCTTGCAATTTGTTGCAACCTTAATAAAATGGCTCTAAGTGATCAAAAAGTTTTAACTGTGTGAAAGTCACAAAAATATTAATTTCAAAATGCAATATTAATTTCAAATATTTATATTTGTATTTTAAATTTAATTGAGGAAGTCTGCATGAGAAAAATTTTACCTCGTTAACAAACCAAATCCAAGCCATGGATGCAAGAAATCATAGAACCAGGCTTTCTTTATCTCTGTACTGTGATTCAAAATGCCCTGAATAATAGGGGATTTATAAATAATTTCGAATAACAATGAATTTTCATAATACATTTCTAATTGCTAAATTGCACAACATATGAGAATATTATGCATAAAAAGTAGCGAGTATCATTAGGAACTAATCTGAAACTAGGTCGACAAACTCGTATCCATTTGAATTCATTGATTTTGGATTAGTCCCGAATAACTACATTTTGGACTTAGATATCTGAAGCTGTAACTGTAACAATCCTTTCGCATCCTCCCGAACTATCTTACTACCTAACTATCAAACTTTCTCGTATTGGTTATTACGTGTTTGCCTTACATACAAATGATTCGCCTCGCATAATTTCGTTCATCCTGCCTAACTATAAATAAATTTGAACATACTTAGCTAGATATATTTTATTTTAATCTGTTTTTATCTTATATCTTCGATATTTTAAAGATCAAACAGAATTTATCCACATATAGATGAAAAAAATGTATAGGTTGTTGTTTCTAATATCACTTGCCAATATCAGCAGGTCTACTTGGTGAAACTCAGCGAATTTGAGGTACAGGGTGCTTTTCTTGTTTTTCACCTGTACCTTACCTTACCTGTATTAGTATCAGTTTGCAACTGATATAAAAAAATGAAAAGTTAGCCCGTACTCATCTCTAAGAACAAGTACAAAATGGTCATATTTAAAAAAAAAAAAATATGTGGAAAAACGAATAAAATTTTCTGTAAAACTTCACATTAGTTTAAATAAGAACCTCGTACAATTTTTATTCTTAAAGGTCCCATAGGCAAAACTTCATTTTAATCAGCATAATAAGAATAAAATGAAACAATATTTTCTGATCTTTCTTTTACTTTTTTTTTTTTTAGGATCTGATACCGAAACATTTCTTAAATGCGGAAAATATTCAAGTGTTATAAGACATATTAGTTTAAATGTAACTCACCTCCACTAAATCTGCTTTAAACACGGTAATAAATGGATAGTAAAATTGCCATGCGTGAGTTATACCTTCTTTTAGAAACAAAGTGTTGTAACCATGCATTCCAAGGAAATCATCTATTTAATAAAATTTAAATTCTCAGCTTAAAAAGTTTGTAAATAATGCACAATTTTAGTAATAAGTGATAATTAATTTTAGTACACTCTAAGAAATTACAGCGAAAAAAAACCGGCCCTCAGGCTTAAAACTGATAAGATTAAAAAAACTGTGTACACGAAACTATAAGGTTTTGTAATCATTTACAACTAGCAAATTTTCAAAACCATGAAAGTAAAGCATACATTATAGCTCTTTGTGTGCTGCACTATTTATGCGTGAATGTTAGTTTCGAAATCTAATAGTTCAGGGTCACCAATTGCAGAGTGCAAGACACATGTATATCTTCGTAAATTTTTGGAAGAGTAGAAGTATTGTGGTGTCAACGCTGGGTTTCGAACCCCTGTTCAATTGGTTATATGATTCGCCAATTAGCCTTCTTAACTAAAGGATGTACACAACTGCAGGGAACAAAATGACTTCACACGGTGGGTCTAGCCGTGTCTAGCTGGCGTGAATAGAATTCTAGATGTTCAACCGTATTAGGTAAAAATAATCCATAAATGTTTTTTCTCTCACTTCACAGTTTCAATATCTACCTTTTTACGATTATTTAATATTTTTGTTTGAATAATTGCTATTTAATAATTTTTAGCTAGAACAGTGAGCAGGGGTCGATCCAGAATTTTTTCCTGGGGGGAGTCATAGACTCAGATCCCCCCCCACACACAATAAATTTTTTTTGTAAAAAAAAAAATTTTAACATTTTTTTTGAAGAAAAAAAGAGACTGGAGTTTTTAATGCTAGCCTTCCCATTTATTTTTTTCATAATGAACAATAGAACAATACATAAATAATTCAAGTATTAATAATTCAAGCATGGTGCCAGATTTTAGTTACGAGTTTCGCAAGTGTCCCATCTTCATCTTTATACAGTCTTTGGTTAAACCTGTTGAAGCGCGCTGAGAGCGCTTCAACATTATTAATGTTTACAATGAAACTATGACGAATTTCGTTTTTATCTTATGGATTCTTGAAACAGTGAAGAGCATAATTAGATGGGGGAAAAAATCGATTTTTCCGATTTACCTAGGTGTATATGCCCTCTTAAATAATTTTTAAAATATTTTGTTTCCTTTGTAAACTATTAAAAAAAGTTATTATGTTTATTTATTTTTTCAACTTGGGGGGAGGTCATGACCCCTATGACCACACACACCCCCACCCCTGGATCCGCCACTGTAAGTGCGTCGTTCATAGAAAAAAATGACTTAACTCCATATTTTTGAAGCATGTATTTTTTTTAAAAAATTTTATTGTATTTATTCATATCACCCATTTTAAAAGTAACGGAGGTCTATTAAAAAAGCACTGGGAAAAAATATATGATAAAACTTTTTTTTTTCTGACATTAATTTGCGAAGAGATTATTATTTAAAATCCGTTTTCAAAAATATAATTCAATTTTGCGATGAACGACTCATAAAAAGTTTTTGAGCACTGTAAATGGATTTTTAGTTATAGTATATATAATTAATCTCTCAGTAAACAAAATTAATCTTATAATATACACAATTAATCTTATAGTATACATAATTACTCTTATTGTATACATAATTAATCTTATGGCATGCATTAATAATCTTATGGTAACCGTATATAATCTCATAGTATACATAACTAATCTTATGGTAAACAAAAATAATTTTACAGTATATATAATTAATCTTTATTTAATTTTAGTAAACGATGCAATGTTTAAACTTGAATTTGCTTTTTTTTCACCAAGTTTTCCCATAAAAACAACAATTTAACAAGAGCTAAATAATAATGTATTTAAAGAGTTTCATTAGATAACAAAGTCGAGAAAAGTAAAGTGTTCGTTAAAAAGTGTAAACAAGTTTATTTTTTGGAGCTCTAATAACAGCAAGTACAGAGGATAAATTTGTTGCTTGTATTTTAATAAATATTCATTAATAAATTAATATGCAATATATTTAGTTTTGAAAAACAATTTTTTATCATTATTCAATTATTATTGAATTGTAAGGAAGCGTTAGATATTTGTAACAAAAAAAATGTTTTAATATTTAAGTGTACAGTGCGCAAAATAAAAAAATATATTACCCTGAATAACTTTTGATCTAATGATCGAATCTTCACGTTCTAGAACCCATTCTTAATGATTTAAGGAAGTGACCTCAAATAATCTAATTAATTAATGCAGACGATATTTAAAGTTGTGAAATCGGACACAAAAACATAATTTCTCTGAATAAACATATCATTTTTTTGATGGATTTGGATTTCTTATCCCCAAAATATCGGGGGTATCCGCAATTTCGACACTATGGTGCCCATAGTTTGTAAGGAGAGTGGTCCAAAGTTTGAACTTTGAGTTGTTAATTTTATTTTTTGCTTATATTGATTGCTAGATCTCGAGAATATCATTTAAGCGAATCCATATTTTTTTAAACTAATTGAAAAAATTTGCACACAATTATAAAATTCATTTATCCAAAGATACTTCTATGCAAAATATCAGTTTTAGTAAATATTTATTATTTTTTATTCTTATTTTTAATAATAATCAAAAAAAATTTGAATCGCAAGGTATACACTTTTTTTTACACCATTGAAAAGGAATGTAGTTTTAAATGGCAGAAAAGCAAAATTTTAACGAAATCGGTCAAACAGTTCCTATGACGTTGATTTCAAAAAAAGCAGTATTTTAAAATTTTTATTTCTCTTTAAAATTTGATTCAATTAATTTCGTCCAAATTTATATGATGCCATTTTAAATTACATCCTTAAAATGATGTAAAAAAATTTATACCTTACAATTCAAAATTTTTCCGCCATTGTAATATTAAATATTAAATAAAAGGAAAAAAGAAATAGTTTACTAAAAGTAATAGTTTGCTTTCAATTATCTTTATAGTTATGAGCAAAAAATTTTCAATTCGCTTAAAAATTTCTCGAGATATGGAGAAATACGTAAAAAAAATAATAATTTTAAATTTAGGGATCCGAATTTTGGACCGAATCGGGGACCATATTTTCCATATTCCATGTACTTCCTATATTTTGTGGGTCACAAATCCAAATGAGTCGGAAAAAAGGTCGTTTAGAAAAAAGCATATAAACGTAGTTTTACTTACAAACATGAATTGGCAGGGGCAGTCTTCGTAGCATTAACCTTATCCTTGCATCCAAATGTCCAAGAAGATTGTAAGATCTCAGTTTGAGACCGGGAAGTTTATTTACAGCATCTACGGAATTACGTTTTAGAAATTTTTTCACTAATACTGATACTAAAAAGACTAAAAATATGACTTGCAGCGCATACTGTAAAAACAAAGCGCTTATAAATGTCATTAGCCCGACGGCAAGGGGACTGTAACCGAAGCTGTCTCGAAGGGAAGAATTATTTGTTCAGGAGTACACAGCTCTCGTTTCGTGACTCACGCATCACGATCCATCTACGTTTCTTCATTTTCCATATGGATTTAAGTAGTTTGAATGCTGTTCTAAAGAGATTGCTTCATTCATTAAATTTCAAGCTCTGCTAGAAAGGGAATCTTCATTTCAACGGAAATATAATTGTTATATAATAGTTATAAAATAATATTTATTTAATTATAGAGTCCCGATTATCCGAGTTAATGTGAATCAAGGCTAACTCGGATAACCGAAAACTCGGTTAAAACGATGAGTATATAAAAGGAAGAAAAAATAAGAGTAGGTTTAAATGTAATACATGTAACAAATACAAAATTTATGCGAGTACACCACATAATATTCATATTATAGTTAAAAAGCTTACTTAAAAACACTTAAAGAGCATACTCTACTAGAATCAAAGTGTTTTTACGTAAAAAAAATAATAAATCGTTTTTTGTTTTACGTTACTTTGACGCTTTTCTACAGTCAATGTTTCCACATTTTTGTAGGGATAACTAGAGTGCCTTCAGTGAAGGCACTCTAGGGATAACAGGAAGGCTGGTGTCGCTTCTTCTTGTTGTTCTATAATCTATATATTCAACAGCACTTTCTATAACTTTTAGTCCATCTGTACGAGAGATTTGTATATGTTGATTTTGATTTTTATCTTCTCTGTCTTTATCATCTCGCTAGATTCATTTTCCTTATTGACGATATTAAAGATCATTTAATATCGTCAATAAGGAAATCTCGTGTTGATCGTCGATAATCTCGTGTTGATACAATGAAAAAGATAAGGGATTGATAATGTTGGATTTCGTTTCCTTGAGAGTTTGGAAGATAAATTTCAGAATTTTTTTCGGAGGTAGTTTTAAAAATAAAAAATAAACTGGAACAAAAAAATCCTTAAAACATTTGATAGCTCGGCTAAAGCGGAAACTCCGATAATCGGAACTCTACAGTTATTTCCTGAATTTCACTGTACTCTTTCACAAAAAATAACTTTTTTTTTCTATCAGCATATTTATAATTCGAAATGTAGATTGTAAGTAGAGTAAGAAAAATTAAATCTTAATACATTTAAATATTTCAACAATAAAAAATCAGAATTAGCAAAGCAAATAACTAAATTTCTTTTTAAATATAGAGCATCAGTTAACCTCAAAATTTGACTTGAAATAAATTACATATTATTTTTTTTAAAGTTTTTATTCTGCCTAAATTACTCCAGATTGGAAGTTTTCAGTTATTTTCTAGTTACAGAATTAGAGTATACTGACTATAGCTCAATATTAAATGCATTAGAATATAATTTATTCTAATTAAACATAATATAAATTTTCTTCACATACTTATTTGCAACTTTAATTACTAAACATATAACCTCATTGAACTTAGCGCAAAGGAATTTATCATCCATAAGAAAAGTTGTAAAGACCTAAATGTATAATGAGCTAAATAATTTTTTCAATAAATGCTAATTGTGTTTGTTCAGTTCAAATATTTCATTTTTTTAAGAAAAAAAATATCTTTTTGTCATTAATTATTATTGATGGTAAATAGTGAAAGACGAAGTTTTTAACTTTACTTTTATAAAATTTGAAAAAAAAAATAAATAAAATTGTGATTTAGCTGAAATGTTGCTTATCAATGTTTTATTGCAAATTATATTTTTAGTACATACATGTTGAACAACCTAATTCACTTTTATGATTCAACTATGATTTATCCAATATGTTGTTATTCACTTATCTGAAGTTTTGAACCAATAAAGGAAACTAATAATGGAAAAAAATCTAATCATGGAAATTGCACTCGTGAAATAAAGTACATTTTAAATAAGTTTCAGAAGAAATTGCTTAACATTTTTATGAAAGTTTTTAAACATCCAAGACTAGAATTCTTTATTCTCATCATCCAAGATAATACCAAATAACAAAGCTACCATTGTTTTAATGTGCAACATTTATCTTTTTTAAATCAATATTAGAAGTTTATGAAGAATATATGAAGGGAAATTATTTAGAACAAGGATGCACAATCCATATCGCTCAGAGCATGAATTAAAGTGACTTTTGACGATTTTATATGTGATTTATGCCGACTGGATTGTATAGGGATCGTGGAAAAGGGCCTTGCATCGGAAAGGTTCTGGGTTCGAATTCCAGACAAGGCACGGATGTTCTTTAGTTCTCTCACCTAATACGGTGCCTCTGAAAGATTTTCCATCAAATCAGCCCTGTAAAGAGCCGGAAGTGACGAAATGTTAACACAGATGGGCATTGGAATAAAAAAAAAGATATATATGATTTATAACAAGCTAGAATCAACATGGCATGTAACTAACACGGAATCAGTTGAAACAATGATCGCGTTACGTGACGTCAAAGCTGAATATCACTATCTGTACCGAGGCCTCCTCTTCAATTGTCAGGGCCCCTTTTCGAGGCGGCCCTGCTCTAACCCTTAATCCGTCTACCACTGAGGATATTTTTATGTCAGCATTGTGGTCTGTGCGAGCCGTGTGCGAAATTCGTATCTACCAGCCATCGCTGGGATTCGAACTCGGTTAACCTCATTAAAAGACGAACGCTATATCCCCTGAGCCACCACGGCTCAATATTATTTTTATATGATATTTGGCTACCAAAGCTCATTATTATTTTTATACGATATTAACATATGATTGTATGATATTTTTATATGTCTCTATATTATATATTTATTTAAATTTTGTCAACTGTTAACAACACTAACTGTTACAAATTGTTCTGTGAAAAGGGCACTAAACAATGTAGAACATATAAAAAACAGCCACCGTCATGCTTTTGAACAGTTAAACAAAGCAAAAAAGCACTGAAAATAAAGCAAAAGAAACTAAAGCATGAGAAAAAAACGCTGGAAAAAAATCATCCCAACACAAAATTATGTCTACATTTATTAAATATTATAAACTAATTAAATATTATGAATTAATTAATTATCTTAAAATGAATCATTTAATATACAAAAATTAGATTGAAGCTTGAGAAAGAGGTACTTTTAAGATTTCATACTTTGAATTACTTTCATTTCTTACCCTAAAATGAGCTTAAAAAATTCGAATTATTACACTTATCGTTTTGTGATAGGATTATCCTATAAAAATAATACTTTTTTAAAAAACGATTTTTTTGTTAAAAAAGTAAAAGACATATTATAATGAGATATTAGATACATTTTTGTAAATAATTTTAACTTATCATAAGATTAACACACTGAAAGAGCATTTAGACATTACATATGATAGTATACTATCAGTGATTTTATATAATTAAAATATTAAATAATATTATATTTTTATATAAATAAGATATATAATTAAATTATATAATTAAAATAAATTCCCTTCAGCACACTTCTAATTAATCCTTGTGAATAAATTAATTTTTGTAAAAAATATTTAGTTATATTTCAATACATATTTAATTAAATTAAATTCGTGCTCAACGGTCCGAATCGAATTGGTCATTTATTTCATATACAAACTACGCATCTCCACTTAAGAGTGTCACTTTTGCATTGATAACTTAAAATAACTTTTTTTTTCGCTGTCTTCGACTAAATAAAATAACGTTTTACGAAGTATTTGTAACAGTAAAAATTGAGATGCAGCTAAATAATTGCGGTTTAAATAAGAATTTCATTTTTTTTTTTTTTTTTTTTTTTTTTTTTTTTTTTTTTTTTTTTTTTTTTTTTTTTTTTTTTTTTTTTTTTTTTTTTTTTTTTTTTTTTTTTTTTTTTNAGATTGAAGCTTGTGAAAGAGATACTTTTGAGATTTTATACTTTGATACTTTCATTTCTTACTCTAAAATGAGTTTAAAAAGTTATTACACTTATCGTTTTGTGATAGGATTATCCTATAAAAATAATTATTAAAAATAATTAGTTATTAAAAAAAATTAAAATTCATAATAAAATTAATAATAATAAATTAAAAATAAATTAAAATTATTAAAATTAAAATTAAAAATATTAATTATTAAAAATAATTAACAAAAATTAGATTGAAGCTTGTGAAAGAGATACTTTTGAGATTTCATACTTTGAATTACTTTCATTTCTTACCCTAAAATGAGCTTAAAAAATTCGAATTATTACACTTATCGTTTTGTGATAGGATTATCCTATAAAAATAATACTTTTTTAAAAAAAATCATTTTTTAAAAAAAGTAAAAGACACATTATAATGAGATATTACATTTTTGTAAATAATTTTAACTTATCATAAGATTAACACTCTGAAAAAGCATTTAGACATAACATATGATAGTATACTATCATTGATTTTATATAATTAAAATATTAAATAATATTATATTTTTATATAAATAAAATATATAATTGAATTATATAATTAAAATAAATTCCCTTCAGCTCACTTCTAATTAATCCTTGTGATTAAATTAATTTTTGTAAAAAATATTTAGTTGTATTTCAATACATATTGAATTAAATTAAATTCCAGCTCAACGGCCCGAATCGAATTGGTCATTTATTTCATATACGAACCACTTAGAGTGTCACTTTTACATTGATAACTTAAAATGACTTTTCTTTTTTTCTCTTCTTCGACTACATACAAAAACCTTTTACGAAATATTTGTAACAGTAAAAATTGAAATACAGCTAAATAATTGCGGTTCAAATAAGAATTTTATATTTATTTTTATTTTTTACAGTAAAAAGGGGAATTTTCAGATTTGCCTGATAATAAAACGTAACAAAAAAAACTGACTAAGTAAAATAAACCAGTAAATTATTATTACTTTGAGTTATCGGAAAAATATCAATGCATTTTATTAATATATTAATATAAGTTTTTTTCTTTTTTTTTTTTTTTTTTTTTTTTTTTTTTTTTTTTTTTTNTGCAGAGCAAATTCACAGGTTCCAGTTTAAAATTTAAAGCATTTGGATAACCACATGGAAAAAA